AATACGCTCTAAACCAATAATTATGTGTTTTAACTTTGGGTCTCCATTTTCTAAATTTGTGTTGTTTCTGCTGGCACTACACTTTCCAGTGGATGTAGAAATGCCAAACCGTGCCAGATAGACAGAACCTTTCATTATTATCTCTGGGAAAAATTTGTATTTAAATGGAAGGATGCTGTATCTTTTCTTTTTTTTGGCTAGTTTTTAATCAGCTGCAGCAAGATGCTCTTTTTGTTGCAAACAATTGTCCCAATTTTACACTCATTGCAGCCACATATTTTTTGCACTCTTTTATTTGATTTTTTTATCGCTTTCCTTTGTAAGGCCATTCTTCTATGCAACCCCTGTCAGCTTCAGCCAAGCACCACACAACTGCCTTTTTAGGTATGAATAATGAGAAATCCAGAATAAGCCATCAGGACTGTGGTCAATCAGTCTAAGCGAATTGCATTTTTTTCTTTACTTTGTACTTTTCTGTATAGGTATTGATGTAGAAAGGTGAGAGGTTTGGTCTGAATACCGCGATGTGAGGAAATTACTTAATTTCAACTGAAACATGAAAAAAATAGCATAATTAAAAGTCTACATAAAACTGTGAGCTATACAAAATATATAATAATGGATCAAAGATTGCACACACTAGCACAAGCCCTCCAGAAATATCTTTAGAGTGATTGAGATTGATACTTGATCCATAACTGGATTTCCTTTCAAGGTTGGTTCTCATTAAATACGTAAATACTCTGAGAAAATTACACTCAATGTCAGTCTTTCATGTTCTAGCTCCTATGACAATGTTCTTGTCCTAACTGTCTTTTTCAAAGCCTATTTCTATAATGTGTTTTTCCGGGTTGTGTCAAATTACTTTAGGAAAAACAAATATACATAAATATCTAGTTTGAAAGTCCACTTAGGTTGATGAGAATCATGCTCAACACTCTTGATTGTAACAATTACATTTAATACAGTTGAATATATGAATATTAATATCCTTGACGATATTTGTACAAATATGTTAACATGTTTAAGCATAGTGACTGAATGTTGAATCTTTGTTGTTTTACGTATTATCTGCATTATCAATATGAGAAGTTATAGTACTTTAGATGTCCATCTGTTTAGAGTTGATGGATACCTTAAGAGCAATCTACTGTTTGTGGGGTGATGATCTGGAGTATGCATGGAAAATTACAGGCCCTAACACAGGGATCTTGTGTATAACTATATTCATTTTCAAATTGAACAAAAAGTTTGGAAATCAGAGGACCTGAAAGTGAACCTGAAAACCAAAAGCCATTTATAATTCAAAACATAAAAAGAACAGTCCTTGATGTAAAAAAAACAGAGGAAAAAAGACACAGGCTGAAGAAAAACCAGGAAGTGATACAATTTATACAGGTAAAGCAGAAAACGCAAGAAAACAAAAGAACATCAGCCAAAAACCCTCAACTCACAAAAAGATTGTGCAATCACATATTCAAGATAGAACATTCAGGTGATAGATATTGATTTGCTATCCCCGTGTACCACAAGGGCCTGTTCCAAATGACAATTTACTTCAGTATGAACTGCAAAGTTGTAGGCCTGTGAAGTTTATGCAACAAGGTAATGTGTTTCTGTCTTGTTGGTAATGTGTCAAATGAATTCCTGGAAGATTCAATAGTACATTTCGAGTTCATTGAAATTAAAGCAATTTTGATCTTACAATGGAAAAGACTATTAACATTCATCGAATGCAGTGGGAAACTGAAGCTGTGTGGTCATAGTTGATTGGCCTCAAACCACATAATCTGGACCTCCGTCTCATAAAGTAGGCAACCCACATTGCTATTGAGGATTAATTTGTGTATGAATCAAAAATAATTATGTGCAGCCTTTCACAAACCATCCCTCTTTTTTTTCTTTTGCTGCAGACACAGTATTGTCTGTAGAGCTGTATGAAAAAAAGAGCAACAAAAGGAAACTCAGTGCTGCACTTTTGGTGCTTAACCTTAACCTTTGCAGAAAGAGGTGCTGAATAGTATACTGTCTGTAGGATCATGAGTGAATCTTTTCATGCATTCATGTGTCTGACACTATGTGCATTACACGTCTTTCCTAAAATAAGAAAAATCTATATATATATTATTTTTTATGCCCCTACTGCTACAAAATAGGAGTCTTGCTCTTACTTTCTTTACTTGGATCTCTATTTTAATCCGTGCCCCCTACAAATAAAAAAACATATATGCCTGTATCCATGAGTTCAGACAGCATTACATTGACTCTCACAACACTAACACACACAGACACAAACACACTCATGCACACTAAACTGTGAGCAGTAGGGCCATGGAATCAGCAATTTCTGAGAACACCTCGCGGCAGACACCCCCTCCATGGCAACCCTCCATCTCTTGTGCAACGCCGAAAAGGGACAGGCTGTGCCAGTGCAGTTAAAAAATCTTAAGCTTTTAGAATACTAACTTAAGCGGAGCAGATATTCTCCCTTTTTTCATCACATTTGTCATTTTTTTAGGGCCTGTACAAATCTTTTGATTATTGTCTTCAGTCTTCGTGTTTCATGCAGTCGCTGTTATCAGAAAAATACACACAGATATAGACCATAATAGGATAAAAAATATAATAATCATGAATCTTCTGACTGCAATCTGTCTCATCAGTCCCCTTGGTCTGGGGAACAGAGATAGAAGAATGAATAGTACACATACATGCATATCTGTGATAAATGTACACATGAATGCAATTTTAGGCTCTCTTGTGAAACAGCAATCAAATGAGCACATGACACCAATAGCATCTGCCACTGCCTCTGAAGATAAGGAGGATGTAATAACTGTGTCCACACTTTTGGCCCACACACACTTTCACACCAACACACACAGACAAAGTAAACATAGCACCGAATGATGAGACGCATACAGAGTGGGGGAGAGTCATTCAAAAGTGTGTGGGATGGAGATGAGGTGCCTACACCAGGCTGAAAGAGTCAGTAAAATAAAGAGAAGGGATTAAATGGAATGCTATGATGACAGCACTAAAAGTGAATACCAATCAGTTTAGCTCTCATGTGTTTTGTTCTCATAATCAATCAGAGACAAAGACTTCAGAGCTTAAAACGAAACTGAGAAAGCTACCGTCCACTCGAGTCTGTTTTCCATTTTATTTAAACTATTATTAGATATTTCTTCTCTAACTGGAGAGAGATATTGAAAGATTTCATAAGCTGCTTAACTTTGTTCACAATATTCAACCATACTATATATACGTATGATGTTTTTACCGTAGCTAGAAGGGCCTCATTCTGTCACTACAAGTATATGTTGTGATTTTGGATATAAATTTAGATGCAAATTTATGATTATATACAATTTCTCTCCAATGATGAAATACTAAAAAGCAATATTTTACATTTCTGTTGAACTAACATTGAAAAAACCTCTATTTTTTGGAGGTCTTTTACAAAGTTCACCCCTATCCAAAGTCCCTGAAAAGAATGTCTGTGATGATGTTTTGCTTATACAAGCTAAACTGAAGTTCATCTTTTAGGAGTTGACTGTGTTTTAAGAAAAGTTTATTTGACATGAGAGGGATTTGTTGCTGTTGGTTGGACGGCACTAGTTAATTATTTAGTTCATGTGGAGCATGAGCTGCGCGAGTGATTGAGAAGGTTTTCCTATTTAGATTAACTCTCGGTGTGAGGAAGATAAATAAAGTTGTTATTCAGAATGACTTTCTGCTCAGGATATAATCAAAATTTACAAAGTGGAAACATATACAGTAATATGCTGTATATATACATATATATATTGTATATCCTATTAATAAATTATCCAAGAGAGTGATTTTTTGATGCTTTACATTGCACGATTGCTCATATTTAGTATCTGAATGCAAAACCGGAGGGAACTTTTCCGACCTTTTGTTCGTTACAAAGAAAGGCCTGACAGGAATGTTATCACTGCTATCTCGACTGTAATGGATACTATGGCTGCTTGGCATTAATCCAGGCTTCCATTGTTCAGGACACACCTAATACTCGTCACTGCTGATTGGGACCACAAAATGCTCTCGCCCCGTCCCCTGCATATGCCAATGTGTTTTTGTTGTTAAATGTACTCGTCTCAATAAGGCTTCAAGAGGGCCAATGACTGTTCACTTAACAGCTTGTATATCTCAATCCTTATAAAGCAACTTAGTCACAAGAAAGTAATTTTTTTCGCATCACTGTTCACCATGTGTTCTGTAAACCGGTCTGTGCGATGGTGTTACTTAGTCTGCAGTGTTTCCACCGGCTTGTACATATGGGATCTCTGGGTACGTTGCATTCCTTTCAACCATCCCCAAATAAAGCACAAAAAAAACATGCATGTTAGGTTAATCAATGACTCTGAATGGTCCCTAAGAATAAATGTGTGTGTGTGTGGCTGGTCCTTTGATGGACCAGCAACCTGTCCTGGTGTACCCCTTGCCCAATATCTCAGCTGTATTGGCAAATGCAAGGCAAGGAAAGTTTATTTGTATGGCACATTTTATGCATATGCATAGGGAAATATAACTGTTTTCAGCCTGGATTTCAATATTGTCAGAGTTGGGGCCTGTCTCAACTCTTCAGGAAGACTGTCCCAGATTTTTGGAGTTTAAGTTCCTTGTTTGGTTCTGACTCTGGATACCAGCAGGAGACCAGAACGTGAGGTTCTCAGTGTCCGAGTTGGTTCATAAGGCTCTAAAATGTAAGAAATGTACTTTGTCAGAGCTGTTTTAAAGTCTATTCTCTGAGTGACACGAAGCCAGTACATAGACCTGAGCGGTCGTGTCATGATACCATTTGGAATAACACTGAACTGTGGAACCAAACCTTTTTTATTATTGTGAAAAAAAAAAGTTATTGTGAGCCCATTTCAAATCATTAGGATCTATTTTTTCATGGTTTGATGCACTAGCAGCAGGTATTGCATATGTTCTACAAACAAAATCGCTAATGTGTGTTAACACCGGTAATGTTTCGTCTGGCTGCAGGTCTGATCCGGCTGCGCTCGAGCCCACCACCTCGGCTCCAAGGTGTTGAATATGTCCTCAACGTCACCGCCACGGACGATAACGCCTCCGGCGGACCTCAGGCACTGTCATCATCAGCCCAGGTCATAGTTGGAGTGGACGATGTGAACAACAACAAGCCTGTCTTTGAGAAGGTGAGACGTTTAGTCTCGCACATGCATTATTGAGTGTTGTTTATGCTGGTTCGTTACTTGCTTTGTTACGAAAAGGTGTCTGATGTTTCATTATCACCTGCTTTTCTGATGGTTATGCGGTTTTCCTTTTACTCTTACTTCTCATTGTTATATCATACCCTATTCTCTTCTCTCCAAGTTTTTTTTTCCTTCCCATCTCTCAAATGTATCTCTCTTCCATCGTCTCTCTGCATCTTAGTCTTTGTCTTTCTATCTCCTCTATTCATTAGCCTCCCCCTCTCCTCTCTAGAGGAGCGATTAGTGAGTTTGACCCTCATCTCTGCTTTCACATCTCACTCCTATATCATCTCAGTCTTTTAATTAAGGCTTTAAGGGATGTGGGAGAAATCCCGAACCGTCTACTCCAGAGGAGCTACGTCTCTACCTGCTTTTTTTCGCGCCATGTTTCAATTTTAAATTAGGTGACTTTTCAGTCCCCCTGAGGTATGACTTGCCAACATCAAGAGAGGGGTTGCTGAGTAAAGTTTACTGACTCTCGTGAGGGGAAAGTGAAATACTGAGTGCTCCCCCCATCCATTCATTTTTTTTGTAGAGAGAAACATAAGGCCAATGAGATGACAGAAATAAATCGTAAAAAAAGGTTGTGTGCACTCTTTATATTTATATTTATGTATGGCTCTTTTTACGGTTTCAGATGGACATAGTTAAACTGTATTTCGATTTATTAAAGGCTTTGTAATTTATAAATGCTTTTTTCCTTTTTCGCTACATGAAATAGCTTTTCACATGCAAACTATTTTTTCATTTTATAGTACAGGTCTGCGGTTCCACTAATGATAATTGTCAGTCAAAGTCTTGATGGCCATCTGTATTGTTGTGATCATGCTTAACATCAGGAGGTAGTCATTAGCATTTGTGTGCATTTATTTAATAGATTGTTGATGAAATATTGCCTGACAACATAACCTCAATCTGAGTGATTTTTATTTTCATATATATATATACAGAAATATGATGTTACTGATGTTGTCTTCCATCCCTTCCAACAAAGTCCCTTTGTTCCACTTTTGTGTAAACAGACTTTAGGCACATTACCTCTATGTAATGGGCTGGACTCAGTTCTTTGCTGTCTTAAATATCCAGAAGTGCATGTATATGTTTGTGTGCTTGTCTGTAAGCAATGATAATGAACATTTTCATTTATTTATTTATTTTATCAGATCCTGTAGTGTAGATGCCAATGGTAGAGGAGTTGAAAGATAACTGAAATGGTGAAGGTACTACTGTTGAGAACCCAGATAATTGGATTGGAAGGAAGGTTATAAGACATTCCGAAAGGCATGAAAAACATTTTGATTTATTCAAAGGAGATTTGTGTTGGATTGACTGCCAATCACCTCCTAGCTGTGAAATCAAACAAAAATTGAAAAAGAGCACTGACAGAAATTGTAAAAAAAAATATGTGGGGAAATGTCAGTGGTGAAGAGGACAGACCTGCAGGAAAAGAAGAAATTCATCTTAGAGGAATAGAGAAGGAAAAGGGAATGATCTTCTTCACCTAAGCATCTAAGTTTCACCTGAGCGGAAGAGTCGAAATGAATTCACTGTTTGAATGCTGAGTGTTGATGTTCAGTGAAGACATTGAATATTGGTTGGTGTTACGTCTGTCTCCTGAAGCAGAACAATGAAGTAGAGAATCCCTTATATCTAGTTTGATACCAATTGAATAGAATATTGCATATCTCTAGAACTCAAGGCAATGCCAGTAGACCAAGAAAAAGAGGAAAAGACACTTCGCAAGATACAGATTGGGGAGATATATTAAGATATTGCAGGTTTTTGAATCTCCGAGTGGCAGTCAGACTACAGACCCATGGGCACTGATCACATTTATCATTAACTTTAAGTCTCACGGAGCGGGCTCTTGAGACGAACTCAACAAATCCCAGGAACTGGTGAAGCATTGTGGGGGCTGGGGCTTGTGGGCTTGGTGTTGGCAGAGTTGAGGTAGGCTGCAAAGCTTTTGGGAACAGATCCCAACAGTACAACCGTCTGAAACCATATATAATCACCATCAACATGGTAGATCAGTGACTCTCTGCTGTGATTCAAAAGATACTTGACAAGGCCAAAACTAGGACTTGGAGGATCTGCATCCCTACACGCATCCAATGATTTTTTATATATACATATATGTGTGCATGTATTAAAAAAACAGATGCTCTGTTATCAGCTGGGCTTTTAAAATACACCTCAAGAGCAACACTATTTTTGTTCAGGAAAAAGGGCTTTTTAATTGTGCTGGTGAGTGTAAATGCATTTTTTAAAACTTATTTTGTCAATTGAACAAAAACGTAACCAAATTCGAGAATTTGATTATTAATTTATTTATATAAAATGCATAACTTACTGAAAAAAATGTATCTAAGAAAGAATAAAAAGGAAGAACCTTACTTTAAAAAAAATTAAGTTCCCAATGAATAGTGAATGCATGCCTCTGAGTGGCTTGAGAAGATGCACTCTGTGTCTTTTGATTAATCAATGGAGCAGTTCCCCTTTTTTGGAACTTCTTAATGCAAGTAGTATTATTTAAAAAAAAAAAACTGCACTTCTTGGAGGGGTGCTGGCATTTCCATTTAAGTTGTTTTTGTTTCTATAGGTAAGACATACATACATCCTCTGTAATAAGTTTGGATGAACTGTTACACTTTTCCTTTTATATGATGGAACAAGAGAGTTTATCCCACAATGTAACACTTACATTGTGAACATTTCTCTTTTGTCGCTGGTTTATCACAATAATTTATTTTTCTGCTAATCCAAATTCTGAACAAGTCATGAAGTGGATAGACTCTACATTGCAACCAAATTTCAAAAAGAGTGAAAGAAATTAGACCATAAATAAAAATAGTCCGGGCCTTAGGCTCGCCACTTTCTTCCTGCTTTCGCTCATTATTTCTATATTTTATTTCTTTTTTGTCCTGTCAGCAAAAAAAAAGCTTAAAGTAATCTTCAGTCTGCCCTCTCAAAGTATATAACACTCTACCTCCCACACACTTCTGCTTGCTGTTTTGATAAAATAGAGTATTGATCTATGCTTTTCTATACTTACACTGCAATGGTTTGCTCCTCCTCCCATCTTAACTCTCTGCCACTCCTCAGTGTCAGCAGTACCGGGAGAGCACGTCGGTGCTGGAGAACCAGCCGGCGGGGACATTTGTTCTTCAAGTTCATGCCATAGATGCAGATGAGGGCACCAACGGCAGGGTCACATATGGCTTCATGCACAAAGACTCCACCGTGCCTGCATTCAGCATCCACCCAGACACTGGTACTGCAACACAAAATAACTTTCAATACATACACTGAAGGGTACATAGACATCTTTTAAACTAGTGGAAGCTCATTTGATTGTCCGTAATGTCTGATAGAATAGAATTAGATCAACTGAGTATCAGCCAGTCTGAAAGTATGTGTTATGAGATGGTAAGATGATGTTAATTAACTTTAAAGTTGGAAAAAAAGTCTAGTCACTTTGTTACTGTAATAAAGAATTGTGTTTGTATGAATAGCAAAAGCTGTTCATTTAGTTGAATTTCTTCTCACTAGAAAGAGTGAATTGTTGTAGAATTAGTCCCAAGTAAATTTTAATGGAGGTCTTCTTTAGTCATGTTGCACATTTGAGTGTATTAGAAAATAAGAAACAGTTGTGTGGCAAGATATAATGCAAATGTCACAACATACAAAGTCGAATAATCTAATAAAGACAACTGAATTTAGTAGTTTTTATAATTTTTTTGTTATGTTGGGTGGCAAATCTAGAATCGAATTAAATGTACCAACTTGTGTTTTGTTTTTTTCCAGGAGTTATTGTGACGGCAAAGAAATTCGACCGTGAACGCCAGCGTGAGTACGCGGTAACGGTCACAGCCACCGACCAAGCCGCTGATCCCCTGATTGGTATTTGTCAGCTCAACATTCTCATCTTGGACCAGAACGACAACAGTCCAAAGTTTGAGAACATCCGATATGAATGTAAGTGGGCGATGTGTAAAAATAAATAACTGCATCGTGATTACCACTCAGGGAGATCAATTGGTTTCATAACAGACTGAATAGTTTGCAACCGATTTAAATAAAACACGGTGATGAAGACTTTAAGTACATTTGATAAAAGGTTTTTTTCGTTCAGACATGCTCCCAGTGTGCTGATCTCTACTGTTAAGACCATATGAGAACCATAGAAGTCATTTAATTGAATTTCATTTCATTCCATTTATTTTGAAACATGATATGATTTAACAATGTTTACATTGAATGCTTCATAAACATGCATCATGTTTCAAAAAGGAGTAGGATGAAGCATAAGCTTATTAAGCCCTACCCCTCAGTTACATGTGTCATGGTGGAAAAGGGCAATTATTTACAGTAAGACAAACAGTATACCAACTTTTTATATATTACTCTTTTTTGTATATATCAAAAATACTTTTCTTAAATTCTTTTTTGAATTGGTGGATTCTTTTACATTGTTTAAGGTTTTCAGGCAAGCTGTTCCACAGCTTCACTCCGCTAATTGATAAACTAAAGCTTATTTTTGTTGTTCGAACATACTTAGTTTTGAAATTTAACTTTCCTCTTAGATTATATTTTCCATCTCTATCAGAAAACACTTGTATGTGCGCAGGAAGTAAGTTATATCTTGTTTTATAAAGAATTTGAGCAGTTCTGAAATTGATCAGATCTTCAAATTTGAGAACTCTTGAACCAAGGAATAAACAGTGAGTATGATATCTATAAGTCAAACATGAAGGTGTCAGAGGTATTGAAGTGTCATGCGAACGACTGCTTGTTGTCCCACAGACTTCCTCCGTGAGGACACCATGATTGGAACTAGTTTCTTGCGGGTGGCAGCTCACGATGACGACTTTGGTACCAACGCGGCCATCACGTACACAATGTCCAGTGAACAGCCGGAGTATCTTAGGGTCAACCCACTGACGGGCTGGGTTTATGTGAACCAACCCATTTCACAGGTAAACACATGCAATTTTTTACTTAAAAGCTTACATTGAACATATACTGCCATACATATTTTCATTTCTTAATGATTACATAAACTGTATTACCAGTTTGACAGTTACTCTAACCAACATTTTATAATTGAGTATGATAAACGGAAAAAAAATAATAATACAATTTACTGGAAGACTTTATGTCTAATGAGGGTTACACAAGTACGAGAGACTTTGCAAAAAGTATTGTATATATAGTTTTGTATAATATTCACACATGTGAATATTAAAAGGAAGAGTGAAACGTTTTAAAAGTTGTATCTTTAAGATTGCCTCTAACCACCCAGATTTATTTCCAGAGTACAGATAATCAAGCAGGTGTTTTTTTAGTTTATCATCGATAGTATCGGACGAGGAATTCAGTGGCAGAGTAACAAACAGGCAGCATGTGTGATTATGTCTTCAGCAGAGCCTTGTCTTTGCCCAGAGGAGAGCAACTTTTTCTACTTCTTCATTGCATCACCACCAGTAGCAGATCCCTTCAAGATCATAAATAAATAAATAACATTTTCTGTTAGAAAATTACAAGAAATAGAGGAAATTGCCATGTAATTCTGCAAACTGGTCTGTGACTCCACAGCTCATCATCTTCCAATGCCAAGGGAACAGATTTTTTTTTTCCTTTTTTGTCTTCAGCACCTTGTATCGGGCTCTTGCACTCAGCACTTTGTCTATAGTATCGCTTGAGAGAATGATTTCCGAGAACATAGCCATATTTTCAGATACAAGCTTTTCCAACTAATGAGTACAACTGCATACACTGCTGTGATACACTCCCGGGCACTGACGGCTTATTTACTTCAGCCTTTGTCAGTGTGAGAGTGTCACTGTTTTCAGAACGTGGAAATGCTAGTCTTCTATCCTTGACTGTCATATAGTTAAAGCGCACCATGATGCATTTCTGCTTTTCCCTTTTCCGCTCTTAATTCGCGTTGTCTGTTTTCCTCCACAGAGGACCTACATCACCAGAGAAATTGTGGCTACAGATGGCGGAAACAGGAGCAGCTCAGTGGAGCTTTCAGTCACCATCACCAACGTTAAAAACCAGCCTCCTCAATGGGAGAAAGACACTTACAGTGTGGTGATACCGGAAAATACGGTTCGAGACACGCCTATCGTGGTAAGCAGAGATATATTTTTTAGTGAAATATATAGGGAAAAAAATATTACAGCAGTCAACTATGTTTTTTTTTAACTATGGTAAAAAATTGTGGCAGTCCTCAAACTGTAGAGGTTCACTTTGGCATACTGGTGTAGCTTTTTGATCGTGATATCTTTGATTATCTAGTATGATGCAATATGTGAAGTATGATTACAACGCTCTAGTAAAAAGCAAGCATCGAGTAACTTAAAGTGTGACAGAAGGTCTAGAGCAATGCATCAGTAACAGAAAAGTAACCAATAACCAAAATAATTGCTTTCAGTGATCTTATGGCGCATTATGAGAAAGTTATTTGTAAATGCTGTCTTCACTGTGTTACTGATGAGAAATGCAACAGACAAAAAACAAATATTAGTAACAAAAAATATATAGTTAGACAATAACATTAGAGCACGAACAAAACATTTTAATATACACTAAATAAAATGACAGCGTGATATTGTTTCATCATGACAAACTTCTACATTTTTCCAGCTTTGAGCCAGGTGTCGATTTTCCTCACAGATGTCTCTGTTTGCTAGCTGCCTCCTTCTAAGCACATCTTAATACAAGAGAAACTGTTTGGAAGCTGTCTTTCTTTTATCCTCCTATAGCTTCCATGTATTTTCACTCAGTCCTAATCACTGGTGATGAGCAATATGTTGGGCGGTAGCAACGCTACAGATTTAGAAACTACAGCTAAAGAATAATTGGCAAATCCTTAAATCCTCTTATTTTCTATTTGCATGGTCAAGATACATCCTCTTATTTCCATTTCATAGTTATTGATATTCCCTTCTCATACTTTTGCCATGTTATCAACTAATCAGCATTATTTTTAACGGCTGTCTTCAAAGCCGTAAAGTCCATTAGGTGTTGTAGTTGTTCATTGGATGGAAATAAAAAGGCAGGAGAATACTTTATTGTGGTGTGCGCGTGCTTAATTTTCTTTGTGAAAGATGCTGACATAGAGAAGAAAAAATCACATGGTCCCTGCAGTTTCTTTTTTGTATTAATTGAGATGGTAGTTCTTTGTTGATTTCACTGTTATGCAAAGATGCAATGGCTCTCAATGGGTTGCATTATCTCTGCCATGGACATATGAAGGTTTTTATGGCCTAAATCAGCACTTGCGGTGGTCAGAAATGTTTGCCAGCTCTTCATGCTTCGCAGGATGCCTCATTATTCCTGCCACTACACTCTGCAGGTTCAATGAATACAGCTAGGTCACCTATAAGCAAGCAGTATCATGCCCTAGATGGCATTTTTCATTTTAATTGGGTGTATACAGAATCATCTGTTGAATGTCCCTTCTTAATTAGTTCAGGGAGAATGGAGACTGAATTATATAAATATTCATTTTTGAAATCAGAAAATATCAAATGTTGTAGTCTTATAAGTGTTTAAAGCTTATTAATACCTTAGCGTTCAATATAATGAGTTGTTAAATGCTTCTGCCAACAGTTTTCCATGTCCTGAGGGTTATTGCTGGTTTGAAATATTTTCATAGCTCTCAAAATAGGTAATTACAAAGGTGTACATATTTAGTCAAATGCAGATTTTAACTCTAGGTGTTAAAATGAATCTCCCGAAGTAAATAAAATTATAATGAACAGCTACCAATAGAGGTAAGTAGCTCATCTTTTGGATTTATTTCAAGTGTAATTGATAAGGTAACAAGTAAGGCAAATTATGTTAAATATTTTTTGCAGTTTTACTGTAAACCAAATGACAACTGTTAAACTGTTGTCTTTCCTTTTGACCTTTGTCTGTATCTATGTACCAAAAAGACCATCAAAGCCACCTCCCCTCTTGGTGATCCAAGGGTAACTTATAATTTGGAAGACGGTATGGTACCAGAGACCAACATGCCTGTTCGCTTCTACTTGACTCCTAACCGAGAGGACGGTTCAGCCTCCATCCTGGTGGCAGAGCCCCTGGACTATGAGACGACCAGGAATTTCATTCTCCGGGTCCGCGCCCAAAATGTAGCTGCCGTCCCATTGGCTGCCTTCACCACGGTCTATGTCAATGTTACCGGTAAGCCTTTTGTATTTGTCCAGTTTTATTGAATAGTAGAAAAAGGAATAAATAAATACACTGTTGGCTTGGTTGTTTTGTTTTTTTCAACTTTGGGTTTACTTGCATTGTTTTATAGCCACCCAGAATATAATTTAATCTAATCCTCCTGATCATTTACTTAATATAAAGGCAGATAAAATAACATTTAGTATTTGTCAGGATTTGGAATGAAGACACATAGATTAAAATCCAATTGGCGACAGCAACTTTAAAAGTTTCTATGAAAATATGTGTACGAAAAAATGCAAAAAAAAAATCTCACGAGTAAGTAATTATATATTAGATCTCATTGTAGTGTCTGCTCTATATTAGTCTAAAGAATGCTCCAAAAAACATTTTAAGTTTAAGTTACTCATCCATTTTTATAATTAAGTAAATCACAGCAATGAACTAGTTTGCATATTGTGAAAATATATTAAACTTAGTTTATAGAAATATAATTTCAACAGTATGTTTTGCCCAAAAGCAACATATGTTTAGCAGGACCTAATAAGAAACTAAGAGTGCCAAAAAGTTTTGAGTTTCACTGTTTTACTGATGTCTACTAACACTTGAAGGGACCTCTGATTTTGACACGAGTATTGTAGAAATAAGGCATTTTTTCTACATTTTTGTGAAGAACGACAGTTTTAATAGCTGTCGTGACCACACAGTCATTTGTAGATGAGTCAGGCATGTAAATGTCTTCCAAATAGGATAATTTATTCGGTGAGGTATAAATACCTTGCATACCAAATCAGCACAAACCTAACTGATTTACTGAGCCAGTTGTTCATTATAATCAGTCTAATATGCAGTGTGTATAAGATGCATGATTCACCATAGTGTCTATCTTTTTCAGACAAGAATATATCGTGCCCTAAATCTTGTTTTTTGCTATTGTCAATTTTCACTTCTTATCCCGTGCCTTTTGTCATTCTGTGTTTTTAATTTAATTATTTTTGAGTAAATGGTCAGCCCCTTTTATTAAGCTAAAGTTGCATCATTATCAACCAATATGTTTCCGTTTGCTCACCATGCTCCTTTTCCTAATGCCTTGGAATTCCTATCGTGTAATTTCATTGCATCATGCATACAAGTTCCCGTGTACCCCATTCCATCAAGTAAGTGCCTAATCCAGTGAGAAATAATTCATTATAATGGACCCTCTCTTGCTTTACTGTCCCTCTCCTAACTTCCCTTTATATTTTAGCTCACCCCTCCCTCTTTATCTGTCTTAATAAGAAAGCTCTTTGACTTCTCCAGGGGCAGTAGGGCTGGGGAACGGAGGGAGGTCTGTAATGGGTTTAAGACTCCATTTTTTATTCATAGATTGAGACATTGAATCAGAACACATGGGAGGGAAAAGGACAGAGCAGCGTAAGATTTAATGTGCCGGATTGTCATGGTGATAAATGTAAAACTTTTGATCTTATGTATGCTTTAGGAATTTCTGATCTAAAGAATATGCTTGAATTTGAACATTTGTATGTCAAACAAACACTCAGGTCCCTTCCCTAAGCGCACCCTACAAACCACCAACATCAGGGACACGTGCAAAAAAAAAAAAAAGCAAATAAGCCCTTAAACTAGTAATCAGGCTGTAATGAACGGGAACAGAGGACCCGGAATTCAACCAGACACGATCAGATAGCGATAGAATACAGTTTATTGGGACTTAAACTACTGCAGGTAATCGGTGGTCACAGGAGGACAGGCACAGGGTCAGAACCATGATCAGGAAGAATAGTCCAGAGTCCCGAAGCAGATCCAGTGCCAGGTAATCAGAGATCCAGGAACAATCCAAAGCAGAATCCGGCGGCAGAGTTCAGGCACAGAAACAGGTCAGAGATCCAGGCAGCACAACTATCAGGTCAAACAAGGGTTAGGCAGGCTCAGAGGATTCAGAGGGCAGAAACAGGTAGGCAGAAAGAATGTTTACAGAAACGCTGGATTAAACTCACTGGTGGCTCGTAATAATCTGGCATTAGTGACTGGTCTGAGAGCTGGTTATGTAGTGAGAGGTGCAGGTAGTACCAAGATCATGACAAAGGCTGGTAATATTCCAAGTTTTTTGCATGAGCAACCATAGTTGAGACAAAAAAGAGAAATAAAATAATAAATGAAGAAAAAAAATACTTCCAAAATAGTAAAAAAAATTAACAGTATTAACAATAATAATAATAATAATAATAATAATAATAATAATAATAATGGAAGTTGCGAGACATGAATATTACTGAACATTTATGATGACTAAATTAATCCAGAATATCCCAACAAATGAAGACTTGAGAGTCTTCATCGAGGTCAGGAATTACCACCATCATACTGGGAGAAAACACAGAAACCCCATGAGCCAGTGGGCTCTCTAAAGGACATAGATGTCTACAAAATCAGAGATTGGTCAATTTTTTATGACCATATAATACTTCACTACTACGAAATATTTGGTTACACTATAAAGTCAGTAGAAAGTTATTCTATACATTTTATACCCACTGAAAGTATTCCACTTGATTTTCTACGTACCCCTTCTTTACAGTAGTTTAGTAACTCAACTTTGAGTTCGTTAATTATTTGCATAACTTATACATAATTTATGTATTATATATGTGTAATAGTAGAGAAACAACTAATTAATATATTGGAAAAGTAAACACATTTGAAGAACCCATTAAATATTTAGGAGGGTGATACAATAAGAAGTTTTTTTTACCCATTATTTCAGGGTTCAACTAATAAAGAACAAACTGTGTCACACATGTGAATGTAGAGATATACGGAAATATTCTGGCAAAGACTCCTATCCTGAAGTTCATAACCTAAATAAAGAGGGGAGGACCTCTACAATTTTTATGGACCTGGCCCCAGGACTACTACGCTTTTCGTCCCAAGCCATTCCTTTGCATTGTGTGCAGAAGATGGGTTTGCACTGTCATACTGAAAAATGCATAGGCTTTCCTGGAAAAGACATCTTGTTGAAGTCAGAATTTGTTTTTTCAAGGTCTCTGTGTTCTTTTTCTGCATTAATACAGTCATTACAGAAGTGAAAATGACATTTTATGCAATGCCATACCACCATATAACCATAATGTTTGCTCTTGGGATTTCTGCTAATACAGAAGGAACAATCCTTATCAAACTGGATGTTTTTAAATCCAATTTCCTTTTGGGAATTTTAATGATTTCTTGCTGCTTATCTTTGCTGTAACATTCTGGAAAAGGGAGATTTGAAATCTCAGGAGTGTTATCTCTGTTAAGTAAGGTTTGATAAAGATTGTGGTTAAGGCCCAAAGATCAGTTATATAAAACATTCTATTAAATCCTCCCGACATTGAACGGAAAATTATGTTAGTATGCTCTGAGCATTTTCTGTTCTTTGTCCTCTTCCCATTTCAGACGTAAACGACAATGTCCCATTTTTCACTTCCTCCATCTACGAGGCCTCAGTGACAGAAGGAGCTGAAACAGGAACTCTGGTTTTCCAGGTTTCTTCCAATGACCTCGACTTGGGTCTTAATGGCAAGGTGACAGTTAATTCATAAATTCAGTTTGTACAATGTGTATGTAAATATTTCTATTTCTATTTCAATATTTCCCTTCTTGTGGTGATCTCCTTTTGTAATGATGGTCATAAACTGCCCGAATAATTCCCCCCTTTGAATAATCACTTTTACCGACCCCCCACATCTTAGATTTCTTACTCACTGCTGGAGGATCGTAGCGGGGACCATAAATATTTCCGCATCGACCCAGAGCTAGGATTCATCTACACGCAAGCCGTGTTTGACCGGGAAACCAAAAGCTCCTACCTTTTGGAGGTTCAGTCCGTCGATGGCTGGGAGTCAGCACGACCTGGAAAACACGGACTGCCCAACTCAGGTAACTCAGAAGGACATGTCAGGACTCCACTATTTTTTTTACTGTAATATTCCCGGTTGACTCCATACCACCATGCTTCCTCCTGTTTTTATTATGTAATTTTATTGTTATGTGTTGATTTTTCACCTTCACAATTGCGATCAACAACTTAATCAACTAAAAAAAAAAGCCTCAAAATAGGTTTTTGTTAATTTTATGTTGCATAAAATTCACACAAGCAGATCTTGTAATATAAAATGGATTGTATTCCATGTCATGAATCGGCAGGAAAACACTCATCTCTCGCTAACACTCTTATTGGAGATAGTCTTCCACTTAATGTGGTTATGGTATTTGTTGAAAAGAGGACAACACTAAGGGGTTAGTGCAGTAGACAGCTGCTGCTTAGACTTTGTTTAAGGCTCCAAATCTTCTTCAGAGGCAGTAATAATCTCTGTTTTCATCTTTCTTTCTCCTTCCCACATCTGTTCATCACTCTCCACTCGGGGACCAAAGGCTATCTTTCTCTTGCAGTCTGTCACTCTTGCTCCCTCCCTTTCCCATCTTTCCATTTCTCTCATTTGCTGCCAGATGAAATGCATACAACTCTGGTTGAACAGAGAAGGGATGAAGAAATTAACAGATGTTGAGACAGATGGGTGGATTGAGGGAGGTGAAAAAAAAACAGTAAAAAAGACCAGGATTTATAGCCCTGTATCCAAAATAAGTTTGAGCGCAGTGTGAAAACTCAATAAAGACAGAATGCACTACTTTTGAGGAAACATAGAACAGCCTAATTAAAATTTGGTGATAACAACATAGAATTGGGCCAAAATAATCGTTTCATTATCAGATGCAAAATGACCATTAAAGAACATTTCAGAACATGAGAAGAACAAAAAAAATTGGATATGATTTATTAAGAATGGAACATAAAACCACAGGCTCAGAATGTAACAGAATGTAAAATACTAATTTTCCATTAGAAAATATATGGCAATTTCTTTGCTAAAAAACTGTGCAGTTGTTATATACTGACATGCAATGCCTGACATGGTTCTGATATGTGTTTTCTCATAAGATGACCTTGACTATCATCTTTTTTTAAACATAAAATACCTCATTATGTTTAATTAGTGGGAAGGCACAGTGGTGTGGTTGTTAGAAATTTTGCCTCACAGCAACAGGGTTCCATACTTAAATCCATACATTCACCCAAATACACCAAGTCATCTCTTAGAATTAGAATGAAAATAAGTATGTGTACAAACATTGAGAAAGTTACATATTAGATTGCTTTAAAGGGAATGTTGAATCAGCCTCATATATTAATCATTATTAGTTAATAATTGATGTTGCTTTCTGTTCAAAACTTCAAAGTTTAAAAGATAATTCTCCTTCTGTGTTATATTTGCAGAAAAAAAACAAAAAACTGGCATGCACGCACTACATACAACAGAGTGCTGTCGTGTAGTTACAAAAGCAGCCTTGAGTTTTCACTGGCAGAAAAATGCTACTTAAGAGCTAGACTGTGGGAGGGAGCCGTTTGCGTGTGCGTAAAAAACATGGATAATTGGGCACCATCAGCAGAGAACAGGAGGGGATGAAGGGATGGATATGGTAGATCTGCTTGTACACTTCCCTTCCACCTATCTGTAGAAGTTTCTGGCAGCTCTTTCATCTGAAAAGGTTTTGGTTTCAAGGGCCTCTTTAGCTCACACATACACACATAGGCACAGACACACGCACACACACACTCACACAAATATAGATATATACATATATATATAGGGGGAGAGAGAGAGAGAGAGAGAGAGACTGTATTTATACACTGACACCCTCAATGTATAACTTTAGCCTCTTGTTGGATTCTAAAAAGAAAAATGAAACAGCTGTATTTGATGTTTGAAAAGACCAGTGTCACAAAGAGACAGACGGCAGATGTGATAAGAAAAAAATGGAAAATCATTTGCTGAAAATACTTGCGTCTGTTTTTGTATGCGAAACGTGAAAAGGCTAAATTGTTGTGAAGCAAACAGGAAAACAGATGTTCAGGCTCAGGTTGACAGAATAAGGACATCCCCATATATCTAATTGCATTTTTCTTTTCTTTTTTTGGTTGCAGACACAGCGTATGTCCGTGTTTTCATCAGCGACGTGAACGATAACAAGCCCGTGTTTGCACAGACGTCCTACGAAGTCGACGTGGACGAGGATGCGGATGTGGGCTTCGCCATTCTCACTGTCAGTGCGAATGACGGGGACGAAGGTGGGTGTAATACGCCATGAGAATACGGTCATATCGAAACGGAACGAAAAGTGAAGAAGTGGCAACGAGGTTGAGCACATCGGTCTGTTTGTCAGAGCAGTTCAGTAATTACATTTACAAAGTGCTTGATTTTTTTTCCTTACTCCCACCTCATGGCTTCGATCATGTTGTCCTATATCACTTCATTTACAGGGAAGAACCATAAAAACTGCATCAATATGAGAGTTTAAAGCAGCTACTTTTGATCTTGAATTGCTCAACATATTAAATATGTTGCAGTGAATTACTGTAACATTTTAGGGGCTTGGTCTTTTGGTGTAAGCCCACAACAATTTGATGCAGAAAGCCTAATTTTGAAAAGGCAGACTGTATAAATACTTTGCAAATAGTCTATGAAACATATTTTCCTCTTGAAATTCCTTGTTCTATTGATGAGGCAGAAACAAAGAATGTCTTTTTTAAAAGTAAAGAGATAAGAATTCCTGTGGAAAAGAGGTACATAATTACATAAAGTCAAAGTCTAAGGACTTAAACCTGCCGTTCAACAGCCTCAGCTGAGCATAGCGCTTAACAATATTTTCCTCCATCTTAAGCTATACAGATCATGCCGCATCTGATACCTAGATGATTTTTGCCACACTTGTATAATGTCACATTGAACCTTATACATTGATCTAAACACACCCTCGTCATCTCTCCCACAGCAAAAGACACGCTTAGACTTTGGCTGCCGTCCCCTTTCGCCTGTGTCTCTGTTCTGCAGCTGGGTGATGATACAGATGAGAGACTGAATGAGAACAAGGCTGCATGTCCTGCACTTAGTGTCATCCTGAGAGAGGAGAAAGATCTAGCTACTGGAAGACACCTTCTCTAGTCCCTACTAAAGAAAAAAACAAAAACAGAACATCTTACCCACCCACTCTTATTGATGGCAGTGAACAGTTACACTTGAGATCACTCAAATCATCTCATCAGTAACAGTTACTGACTCACTTTAACCCTTTAAAGCCCGATCCAAGAATAAAACCAAACAGAAAATTATTATTTTTTTGTTTGAATTCCTTATTTGGCCTTTTAACAAAATATGTAAAAAGAAAAAACATAAATACATTTTTAATATTAATAATTTATTACTATGCGATAAGTCAATATTATTTTTTGTGTAGTCTTCTGCCCCCTGTTATCAGATATATCTGAATGTGTACAATAGGATTTTGAGCAACGTTTTTACCATTAAATTATGCAAAAGGTGTCGGACGCAAAACATTTCAGAAACCGTATGTATCAAATATCATACATTTGGCATTACAGGGTAGGGTTAATAAGTAATTAAAAATTCTGCCAGACTTCATAGAGCTTGCCTATTGTATTGGACTAGGTGTTGAAACATGCAACCATCTACCTGCAAAGCCCTCTCACAAAGCGTGGACAAAGCAGTCCAGTGTGGTCTTCAGCCTACTGTACTTATGTAACAGGCTCCAGAAAGTAGAAGTGGATGCCTCCATAACTGTCGCTTTAAATAACTACCGGTACATGAAAAACACACTGTACTGTACTCTCACTGTTTCTCTTCACTCTGTACACAGCAGATCTCCAGGACACCTCAGAGTGCTGTCATTTCCAGATGATGTAACTCTGAGGTGTATTGATGATGTAGAGGAAGCAGTGAACTAAAAGTAACTTGTCTGATTTTTTTTTTGTCACTTTGAGAGCAAGATTGGACAGTAAGTGAGATGCAATTTTCTTTGCAGCAATTAGAGCCAGTGACTCAAGGGTACTGTGCACGATTATATAAATGGTGGTGTTGTGAAAAAGAGAATTTGTACAAAAGAGAATTAAACGAAAACTGGTCAGCATGATGAAAATCATGCCCGCCACAAAATAACGCAACATGAAGCAACAGATTATTTTCAGCCAGAGGCTTCATCAGTTTTATGCAACAATACAGGAAGTCATTCCTTTCCACTGCAATAACTATACATGAGAAATTACAGAAAACAACTCTTGTCCATATTTAAGTGACAAATTACGGGTCAGTTTTTCAATGTTCCACGACAGCCAACTGTATGCAAAAATCCAAAAGCAGATGAATATATAAGAATTCCAGAGCTTGAGGAAAAGAAATGGCATGTTATCACCTTACACAAGAAGACCTGACATAATGGACTGTTGTTCGGAGCTAACATCAGTCAACAAATCAACAAAATTGCATTCATTACTTTAAGTTCAGGTTGCAACGACATTTTAAACAAAACAAGCTTTTAATCCAAATAGTAAATTAATATGTTACAGTCCCTTTATTGTCAGGTTGATAATAATAATGTGAGAGGAGAGCACAAATACAGTCAGGGTGACTCAACTGACTCCTCGTATGAGGGAAGCATTATATCTTATCCCATGTGCTTGTGCTCAGAACCACTGTTTTATAACCCTTTAAATCAATTTGATGGCTAAGTGTGCTGTTTTAAATATTTCTGTTGGGTGATGGATGTATGGATGTCTTTTAGAAAATGGAAGGTGGAATCTCAGTATTAGTTGTTCAATTAAAGATCAAATATATTACAAATTCTATCCTATTTATCTTATATGGCCATCCTGAAATATTACACTGCCACTGTTACGCACCATGACTGAGATGTATAGATGAACTGTGATTTATTGATGTAAAATATAAAAATAATCCTAAATTACAAGTGGTATTTTTCTTAAGATAATATGACTGATGTAGGACCGTGAAGTAAGCCCATGTTTAGTGTATTTCAATTGTATCTTTGTCATATTATTTGTCCTTGTTTTTTAGGTAGAAAAATAGAATCCCCACCTTTAATAAAAGTGGGTAAGACAGAGCAGCTACCATTAGAATAAGTGAATACTTGTTTGACTTATATGAAGACAAATTTGAAGTAAGTCCGACATACAGGGCAACCGCAAAACAATCATTTATGCTTGGATGGTTTGTTGTCATGGTTTTCAGTTGTGGGCATGTACAGCTTGACGGGTCAGGAAAAGGTTGTACTTTGGGTTAAAAGGCAGGAAAGGATTTTCCGTGTTCTTTTATAAATCTTGTATTGACCAAAGTCCATAACTGGTAAAAAGAGAGATTTGAACATTATTAAACTAAATGTTTCAGTAATACCTTAATATTTGTGGTCAGAAAGATAAAATGAAGCCATGACAGGGACATCATATTATTATTTTCCATTATTACATTGTGCTATATTAGCTTTAGACCGATTAAAACTATAAATTTTTTTGCTATTAAATCAAATACTATTGAAAGCGAGATGCTTGCTAATGGATTGAAGGTATGGGATGATGATGTTAAAGCACACAACTCCTAATGTGAGTCATAAGGCTACAGAAACTCAAAAAGACATTGATGTATACATTGTGTATTTGGGCATGTAGTTATGTGAAAACAATTAGCTTTTTTGGTAAACAATGTGTCTGCTTTAGGCGTTGTCAAAGCAACATAAGGATACCTTCAGTTTCCAGTAAAGATATGTGTTAACACAATTTACTCTTAGTGCCTGGGCTGTCTTTTGACTCAGTGTACTCAAGATGTTTACTCTAAAATATGTTCATTTTGTCCCATTCACATCACAGGCGTCAGAGGTTTTCAGTTTCAGTCTCCTCCGTGTGACAGCATCAACTGCTTCCTGTTCAGAAAACGGTTTGGGAAATGTAGCAAAACTTCAACAATTTTGTCAACCATGTTGCTGGCCAGAACCATTTAATTGTTGCCCCTGATCCAATAATTTTTTATCTTTATGGAAGCTCAATGGAGTCAAACTGCCCTTTCGAATAAACATTGTGACACAGAATACTTGCAGTATTGTATTGATCGCTCCTCATGGCACCAACGCTTCTACTTTGAAAATGGCATATGTATGTTCTAACTGAACTGGTCATGCACCAAATGGTAATGCGGCCACACAAGGAATTCAGGAGTTATGATTGTGGCTAAAGATGCTAAAAATGTCCAGTATGCAATATGTTGCATACAAAATCTGAATAGATTTCTTACATTTGAAGTGATATAACATACATTTGACAATGCACATATGCTTGCAAATAACAATTGACCCTTTAGTGTTTTCTGCCCAACAAAACAACCACATAAGGAAAAAAGAGCCAGAAAACCAGCAAACAAAAAAAGAAATGGAGAATAATCTGACTGTATTCAGGAACTAGCCCAAGGTTTGTGGTCTTCTTTGGTGGGTTTTCCAGCATTGCGAATTGCAAAGCTATGAAGCATACAGTTTGCCACATAAATTTCCAATAAACCATCAAAATGGCTGTGGGTATGTATGTACATATTGCAGAAGAAGACTTTAAAATATTCATATTTTATGTAACCTACAACATTTACTCATGTAAAATTTGTCTTATGGCAGAACCATCTTCTAAGCAGGACGGTATAACCTTGACTTTTTAAGGAATTCTATTCTATCTTGTACCATAATCCACTTTTGCCATATCTTAACAAATATAACAGGAAAATACCAGTGAACCTCAACATTTTAGGATAGCCATTAAGGATGAAGTCTTCCTGTTGCTACATATAAACAAGGAGAGAAATTTCTCATAAGACAAAATGTTAAAATTAACATTACTTGTTAGGTCTTTGAATAAAGCCTGTAAAAATAAAAAATGTTTTTGTTAATTTGTTTGTTTATTCAAACAGCTGAATTACTCCCTCCATACTTCTGTTTCCCTTTCGGGGACTCAGCAGTTTTATAAATACTAATGGGATTCAAACCACTAGCAAAAAGGGGGGGAAAAAAGTTAGTTAAAGAGAATGGGAGTAAAAAAAAGAGGATATGTATTCCCTATTGTCTTATTTAAAGGGGAAACAGACTAAACAAAACGATCTGGATTAGAGCATTCTCCCTTCTCCTTCCTTGACTTTCATCTTGCTAATAAGCTCTGAATCTCATCTCGTCTTCAGAGGCGTCTGTTTCCCCTTTCATATTAATACTGGAAGTGGAGGATGCAGTGGTGATTGAGATGCAGACCTTGGCTTTAATAGTAATTACACTTAGGGAAAAAAAAAATGTTGATCAGCATCTGATAGTTTCTTGAAAGTATTTTTTCAGAGGCATAACCTGAAGAGATCAGAAAGTGACGTTAAGCATGAATTTTCGGAGATGAAACAATTTGCACAGACCTTTAATCATTTCTAGGAAATAATACTATATATCTGCTGTTGTATTCATGTTGTTGCCAAAAGAAATTTCAGGAATTTCAGGAAAGTCTTAAAACAGTTTTTTACAAAATGTTAAGTCAGTCTTTCACGTGTTAAGTTGGCTTTGAAGCTGATTCTTTACCATTTTTTTTTATGGAGGAATCTCAATGAATGATTCATGTGTATACATGAATATCTGCATGCGTCTGTGTCAATATGAATAGTGCTGACTGCATTTTCCGACATTCCTTTGCTAATAAGCTCAACGTCTGCAATGTAAGGGAATTGGATGTAATAGGTTGCAAGGGTTTTATCCATGGCTGTATAACGGCTCTTTCAACGGCACAGCGTTTCATGTCAACGCTGTTTATGTTCAGTTTAAAAGAGCTGTCCTTTAGATGGGTGTAATACAAGAACATATCCATACTTGCATAAACAGATCTCTGAGTTTGAAACGTAACCAGTACCTGTTTTAAATTCAAGAACTTGTCTTGCATACACTAAAGACTTCATTTGTCATATTAATAGCAATAATTATGTAAATGTATATGTATAGTCATTTCAATGAATTATGAACACTTTAAGACCAATAACAATAATTCAGACACCATAATTGGCTCTGAATTCTTACATTGCCCAAGTCTAAATTCATGACTTAAGTTTGAAAGTAGATGTACCTGTTTTCTTTTTCATACATTTGCATTGTATATGTTTAACCGCGTAACTTAATTTTAGCAATTACAGAATAAAACATGACATATTGATGTCATAGGTGTAAAATCTTATCTTTCTATATTTGTTTACATACAATGAAAATGCTGTCATTGTGTTGTTTCTTTTTGCTATTCTGTTTTGATAAGTTCTTTTTGTTGTTATTTGTTATGCTTGTCTTGACATTTAGGGCAAAAAGAAAAAAATAACTTATTTTATTTTAAATAATTCAACTCTGAGGCTGATTCAAGCTGCTTTTTTTATTTTATTTAAAATATGGCATCTTTAATTGAGATCCAAAGAGAAGGATTAGATGATAAAGCTGGTAATAAAGATGATTTACAGTTTAAAAGGTTTCTCATCGCAAAGACGTAATTATATTTTGAGACAATTTTTCTAACAACCACTCAAAAGCAGCCTGTTGACTTCTGTAAAAAAGCATCACCTTTCCATTTTTATCATGGTACAACATGCCATGCAACCCCTCACCAGTTGAATGCTCTTCAACAAGAAGAAAAAAACTCAACCAATTTTAAATTACTCTCTGCTTTCCTTTTTCTAATCACTGCCTGCTTTTCATCGCAGGTGGAAATGCCAAGCTGCGCTACCAGATCACGTCGGGAAACACAGGAGGGGTGTTTGATGTGGAGCCAGAGGTGGGCACAATCTTCATTGCTCAGCCTCTGGACTATGAGCTGAATAAAAGGTGGGTGTCTACACTCAGGTCATGAAGACTCCGTTGAGAGATCCGCTGTTACATGTTCCCAACATTCTTTATTTTTTCAAAACATTTTTAAGCACATCTCAAAGACTTCAGTTTTCTTTCACAATTTTTATATGTTTTTTTTACAAAACATTGGAATACAAGTTTAGAATAGTTGATTTTCTTCCCCACCTGTCACAAATACCAACTTGTCAAATACAAAGTATTATTTTTACTGATAAGGGTAATCTGAAAGACATCAGCCAAAGCAGACTTTGCATAATAGCATCACAGTAATTGTAGAAGCTTGTTGCAAAAAAAAGAAAAAAAAAAGAAGTTGTGTAATTAAACTTAATAATGTGTCTTTTGGGTCTCAATATGCTTTTGAAAACCATGATTTTTTTCCTAAATCCCAAGATTACTTAAATACGTCATGGTCATAATGCAATCATTCATCATAAATCATTGTATAATTCACAGGGCCCCCTCATAACGCTGGTATTTTTTTGCACAGGTACAAGCTTCATGTGCTGGCATCAGATGGGAAGTGGGAAGATTACACAACAGTGACGGTAAACGTGGTTAACAAGAACGACGAGGCTCCGGTGTTCACCGTTAACGAGTACTATGGCAGCGTGACAGAGGAACTGGATGGTTCGCCGGTGTTTGTCTTGCAGGTACAAAACTATCATCATTCAGTCCCGTGACACAGCGTGACATATTTTTTCAGTCATGTTTTAATCATGTTTGAACATGGTATATTTGTGTGATCCCATGGAAACATGTCGTTATTTAAAAAAAAAAATGGCAACAACATGTCGATGGGCCTACCATTTCTATTTATACTCATTCCTTTACCAGCAAGTACTTGGAGTGAGCAATAAAATAATTATTCTTTCATTTTAATAATATTACTACATTGTATACAAATTATTATAAGGTGAGGACACCTTTTAGTCTATTGTTCTTTCATTTAATATTCTTTAATGTATATTTGACCATCACAGACCAACTAAGTTGCAAAGAGAAAAAAAAGTACATATTACTTATAGGTAATTATGTTGCTTTAAACTGTACCAAACTGTTAATAGGGAAAATTCTAGGGCTTTAGCACAGCATCCATATACCTGCTGAATCTGGTTAATGCTCGCAACATTACCAAATGATCACTGGTCACTGCCTCTAGTCAGTTTTAAAAAAAGCTTTGACTGGTCTTGTATGTGATAGTCTTTTTTGTTTTGTTTTTTACATTAAAATCAACTTTAATATACTGTGTACTGACCAGGGTGGATAAGTTCTGATATCTATCAAGAGTAGCATTTGAAATTATAGTTGGGTATAACATTATTTATTTTAGCTGTATTTTGTGCAAGATATCTTAACTGGACAGAGCAGGAGATGAGTGTTTCCTGTAAAATATCACTCCAAGCCTGCAATATTTCCTCAATACCTTTCTTTAATCTGTCCTCACTTTTCTTTCCATCTCTTTTCTTCCGTCCTGTCGTATAGGTGACGGCGTCGGACCCAGATAAGGATGCTGACCAGGAGGCCCTGCGTTACTCCCTCCATGGCCAGGGCGCCGACAGCGAATTCATAATCGATGAAGTCACAGGAAAGATCTACGCTCAGCGGACCCTTAACCGCGAGGAGCGTGCCGTTTGGCGTTTCGTCGTCCTGGCTACGGACGAAGGCGGCGAAGGCCTGACGGGCTTCACGGACGTTATCATCAACGTTTGGGACATCAACGATAACGCTCCCATCTTCACTTGCGGCGTCAGCTGCCACGGAGATGTAGCAGAGAACTCAGTAACGGGGACGTCCGTTATGGAGATGACAGCCACCGACCTGGACGACGCGGCCGTGGGACAGAACGCCGTGCTCTCTTACAGGATCGTGGGCAGTTTAGACGCCACCAACGCTGAAATAGGCGGAGTCCCCACCTTCTCGGAAATGTTCGCCATAAACCCCACCACGGGGACAGTCACCGTGGGCATGGGGGGTCTGGACAGGGAACAGATTGAGTCGTACCTTCTGGTTGTGGAGGCCAGAGATGGAGGAGGGATGACAGGAACCGGAACGGCGACCATTCAGATCAAGGACGTGAATGACCACGCTCCGAGATTTACTGATCACTCCTGCCTTGCGAGGATATCTGAGAACGCAGAGGCTAATTCAGAGGTGGGTCAAGAGGACATTACTTCTTTAGAAAATCAGTCTATTTCACTGATATAATACTAACATTTTATTAAAGTTACAATGCTGCAATGTCACACTTGGTTTTTCATTTAGATGTTTAAGAGAGTCCAATAGATAGGTAAAGCAATGTTTGTTTCCTTTAGACTGTTCATAATAATTACAATGTAAAATATGTCCATTTACTTGTTTTTTTTAATGCAGCCCTCTCTTTAAATTGACTTAAACATACCGAATGGAGCTTCTATTATAAAAATGACAAGAATAACCTAGCACATAGAAAACAAAATTTAATATGTGAAGAAATACCAAACCTATTTGTTTAAGTCGCACACTGTAGCAATGTTTGTTTTCTTTAGACTGTTTATAATAATTACAATGTAAAATATGTCCATTTAGTTATTTTATTTTAATGCAGCCCTCTCTTTAAATTGACTTAAACATACCGAATGGAGCTTGTATTCTAAAAATGACAAGAATAACCAAGCACATGGAACCTAACCGAACCTACTTGTTTAAGTCACACACTGTAGCAGTGATAGATATGGGGAACTTTCATTATGGCGACCATTCTGAATCGTTTTGATAAGCTTATGCGATGTCAGACATTAAATCTACCGTTGCATTAATTTTTTTTTCACTTGAATTGAGCATTAGTCTGTGTCAGAACACTGCGTAAGGTCTCCTCCATCACTACCAGAACATTTTCAATTGGGTTGAGTCTGGGAATCTATGATGACGGGGAAAATGACATGTCATTCTCCCAGAACTTATTTCTTCGCAATTTGAGGCCAATGAATCCTGACAATGTAATCATTGAATCTATTCATGCCATTAGCGAGGAAGAAAGTCTCATAACATGGAAACATGCTTAATCTGCTTGCTTTTTTTGCACCTATCATTTTGAAATAGTATGAGTTGAGACACCGTAGACTGCAGTACATTTTACCAGTGGTCCAGGTAGCAATCTCAAAGCTATATTGCAATTTTTTTTTTATATATCTTAAGTATCTTAAGTGCTAGAGTGGATTTTGGAATGAAATGCAACTGTTTAGGACTAATATGCTGGATTTTGTTTGCAATTTATGTTTTGATCCCTTCTTGATTTGATGTTTAACCATTGCTTTTGGTTCAACTGTTAATTTCTTTATTATTGCTATTATATTTTGTTTTTATCTGCATTTCTTCTTTGCGGATCAGAGTTGACCATAAATTAGTTTTAGAAATAAACAGTCTTCTTAGCAGTCTTGTTTAATAGTTTTAGTCCAAAGATGAATGGGCTCAGTACTTCCACTATCTCAGATGACGCCATTTTCAGATTGAAAAATACTTGAATACTTTCTCTTAAGTCATGACTAGAATTACAGGTGCGTATCAAAACATTTTTATGAAAATACATTTTGAATATTACATCTTCAGTAGACTGCATTTATCAAGTAGACAGTATCAGCAGGTCATTAAAAACCATCCATCCATCCATTATCAATACCGCTTATTCCCTGATGGGGTCGCGGGGGGAACTGGAGCCTATCCCAGTGGTCAACGGGCAAGAGGCAGGGTACACCCTGGACAGTCCGCCAGTCCATCGCAGGGCCACACACAAGACATACAAGGACAAACAACCACTCACACTCACATTCACTCCTAAGGGCAATTTCCCCAATCTCCAATCAACCTAACATGCAGGTTTTTGGACTGTGGGAGGAAGCCGGAGAACCCGGAGAGAACCCACGCAGACACAGGGAGAACATGCAAACTCCACCCAGAAAGGTCCCGGTTCCCCCGGGATTCGAACCCTGAACCCTCTTGCTAGGAGGCGACAGTGCTAACCACCACAGCACTGTGCCGCCATTAGAAACCAATGCTTCTTTTTTACCTTTGGCTGTTAAACTAGATTATAATTTTCTAAAATGCTTTCTTGAACAACTTGATATTCTTGGGATGTATAAGGGGGATCTTATTTGCCATATTATTGGAAAAGCTATTATGAGGCAGGACATTTTTTTTTTTTTTGTTAATATTTTTTGCACAGCATTTTTCATCAACAGTGACACTAAATATTCCTTTTTTGCAGCCTAACAAAATATAGAATTGTATCACCGAGAACTTGTTCACACAATTTTGTGACTTGTTTTAAGGTCCTTGAACTTACTGCAGAAGACAAAGATACAGGGGAAAATGCACAACTGACCTTTAGCGTTGTGGCTGGAGACCAAGAGCAGAAGTTCTATATGGTCAGTCACAAGCTGGAGCAGCGCGGCGTCTTGAAGCTTAAGAAACGTTTGGACTATGAACGACACAGTGAGCAGAGGTTCAATCTCACACTAAAGGTATGTGGAAGCTTCTCTCATGGAAAAGGTTTTGGACGGTTGAAAATTAACAAGTATTTTTTGCTTCATCATTTTTGTTTTTTTTGTCTTAAATCCATGAGATTTAACATCTTGTTTGTAAAAGAAACAGTTTGGTCAAGGGCATGGAATGTTTAATTGGATATGGATAAAAAAAAAAAGCCTGACAGACGCATGAACAGAGGATAAATAGTGCCTGAAATTAAGGTGCTCAAATATGTAATTATACTAGACATTTTAGAAGTGTGTTATCTCATTGGCAGACAGAATGTTCCTTGAAATGTTCTGGTATCGTCAAAACATATTTTAAAAGAGAATGCCACAAAGCCAACTATGAGAAAAGCTTCTTTTTTGTCTCTGTCAATGATTTCTACACTCTCTGAATACTCTGAATACCTCTTTTTCTGAAATATATTTAGGAAAAAAAAACATTTAATTAAAATCGTAATAATTCCAGTGACACTGCAGTCTGGCCCAGCCTGATTATTTTCGGTTGACAAGAAGTGGCTCATTATACGTTTATCTGGCTTACTGTAATGTTCTATCGCAAATGAGACTGTGTTTCCGTCCCATTGAAGGTGGAAGATCTGGACTTCTCAAGCCTTCTGCACTGCGTAGTAGAGGTCGAGGACTATAATGATCACGCTCCAGTCTTCATTCCGCACTTTCTGTCACTGGCCCCACTTCCCGAGGACATCAGTGTGGGAACTAGCGTGGCACATTTGGTAGCCAGCGACTCAGATTCAGGCCAAAACCGCGACATTACCTACAGCATATCAGAAGACTCGGATGCCGAGGGCTTGTTTACCATCGACCAGGCCGGTGTGCTCTCGGTAGCCCGGCCACTGGATCGAGAGAAAGTACCCCAGCATCACTTGGTTATAATGGCGACTGATCATGGAATTCCACCTTTAACAGGCAGTGCAACAGTTCAACTGCCTCTGTTGGATGTAAACGATAATGGACCAGAGTTTGAGGCAGCATATTCCCCAATAGTCTTTGAGAATGTGGCTGGACCACAGGTAAGCTTGAGTTTGATATCATATAATATTATCAACATGTAATATTTTAATAGTCGACATATAGAGATATTGCAGGATTATATAAATGATAAATTTTGCTGAATCCTCCCAAATCCTCAATTCTCTCCCTGTGTAGGTCTTAAAGTTGAACCAAACATCCACCCTCCTTCGAGCCGTGGACCAGGATTCCCCTGAAAATGGCCCTCCCTTTCACTTTACTGTACCTCCCGATTATCGCCACAGTAACGATTTCCACATTCAGGACAACTTGAACGGCACCGCAACACTAACAGCTCTGAGGACCTTCGACCGTGAGCGCCAGAAAGAGTTTCTCCTTCCGATCATCATGAGTGACAGTGGTTATCCAGCCAAAACTGTGACGAGCACGCTAACTGTGACGATCGGTGACCAAAATGATCATGCACATTTGGCGGGAGAGAAGCAAATATTCATCAATAATCATAAAGGTGAGAAGCTGGTCTTTTTGTCTTGGTGCCTAAAACAAATCCATTGTGTGGTCATCCATCCATTGTCCACACTGCTTATTCCTAGTAGGATCACAAGGGAGTTTGAGCCTATCCTAGCTGATATTAAGTGAGAGGTGGAGTACACCATGGCTATGTTGCGAGATCATCACAGGTCCACACATAACAACTTTCAAATTCACATTTTCCCGTTATACATTCACTCCTAGGGAACATTTAAACTGTTCAATGAACCTAATGTGCAAGTTTTTGGGACGATGGGAAGAAGCTTGACAATCCAGAGAGTACCCATGCAGACACAGGGAGAACATTGGTCAAACCGGGAATGCCTCTTGCTTCCCTCCACACCACTGAGCTGCCCAAAGCAGATAGCCTGAGAAGACCTGATTTCAAATTGTCAGCCACTCCTAATCAGCGTGCCTTCAGGAAAACACATAGTGATTTATTTTTTTGTTATAACTTTCACTTCTTTCTCAACACTTTCACTGTGCATAACCTGTGTTCAGTCAGAATGAGTGAAGTTTAAACAATTTTTTTGTTCAAAGTGTGCCGTCACCGGTGGATAAAAGTGCATACTCTTGGAGACCTACCAAAGATGCAGAGTATCAGGATGTCAATATATATTTCAGTGTGAAATAGCTGCTGAAACATGTCTTTTTAGCTTGAAAAATAAATGGAAAGACCACCTTACGCACAATAACAGAACGCTAATCCATAGATAGGGATTTTTACCATTCCTCTTTCTGGGACTCCTCAACTTTCTTGATGCTTATTAGCTGGATTTTAAATTTGATTTGTCAGATACGTACAACAACAGCATATCATTCAAAACGTTGTATACTGCTTCCCCCCCTATAATTTCAGTATTAGTGAAATTATTTAATTGAATTTAACTGAATTGACTTCATGCTCAAGTCACAAATTGACAAACGTTTTTCCTTTTTAAAAGCACTAGATTCATGAGTCACTGTTTCGTGGTTTCTTTTTTCAGATATGAGAAATATGAAAATTTGTTTCCAGACAACTATTTGATGTGTTTAACTTCAATCAATGGCCTTAATACCTCTATTGACAGCCACAAAACATCCCTTTCATTAATTTATTTTCAATTAGAATACCTTCCAGGCATACCAACAAATCACTGTATGTTCTCAAAAGCCTCCGGCAAAGACAAAGAAAAGACTGAGAAGATTTTTGTTTTCATAGTGTGCTTTTAAATCTTGAAGCCTGCAAGTAATTCACGCACACGCTCTTATGTTTTTCTATGCTAGATTGTATTAATTGTTCATTCAAATGGCATGTATGGTTGTGCATTTTTTTTCTTTCTGTGTAAATCATTGGCCAAGTCTCATCTCTTGGTACTCCTGAGGGGAAACGATGAAAGAAGCGTGAATTGCAAGCATTTGGGCTTTTCGCTTTCTATGTATTTTCCTCTTTTTAAATGTACTTGAGGTGTTTGGGATGTTTTATGCAGCACATTTCAAGGTTCTTTGTCCTCGCAATTTAATTTTATTGCATACCAAACACATAAAGGCATCTGTAGAGATTAAGTATCTGTGCTCTTGTAGTCAATGGTTTTATAAGGCTTTTATAAGTTACCCAGACAGACGCAGTCAGCTGATAATAGTGTGTATTCCCTCTTTACAGGGCGAATGCCAACAACGGTGCTTGGAAAGGTCTATTCTCCTGACCCTGATGACTGGGACAACAAGACCTATGTTTTTGAGGGACATGTGCCAAGGTAACTAGAATTTCTTTAGTCAATTCTTAGTTTGTTCGCAACTATGGTGCAAGTTATTTTCAAATAATTTAATAAGTAATGGTTAAGGACCAACACTCTGTCGTGTTTTTTCGGTTGACATATATCTTAATTTTGCTAAAACACATTTTTGCTATTCATTTTTTCATGATTGTTTATAACATATTCAATGAACAGTTAATATTTAAATAAGAAACATATTCATAATTGCAAAAGAATATTATCTTCTTAACCCAATAAAATCTATACAAGCACAGAAAAAACAATTATAAACCAGGAGCGCATGACGCTTTAGATTTAATCCCTTCAGGCTCATCTCGACTCAAAATGACAAAATTACCTCCTTTCAGTCTTGAAGCTAAGTCTTTCTTTTGAATTTTGTTTTAATTTAAAAAACAGTGGAATTACTATAAAGATGATGGTGATAATTGACATGATGATCAATAGAAATGTGCTTGTGACTGTGAAATAGATTCATCAAATATGTATTTATAAATATATTTAAAGCCCGTCTTACAGGAATGTGAATTTTGTTGTTAGCAATAGATCTATGACATTGATGTACATACCGTAGAAATGACTCAGAGTGACGTCAGATCCAACAATGTCCCTATTAGTGGTGTATTATTTGACATAAATATACCTTGTTGTCTCCTCTAATAGACTCAAATATGTGAATTTACAATACAAGGGCTTCTTGGAGAGCTGAATATGTTATATATGCTTCGTAATTTTAAAAGTTGGTTGCATTTTTCGTACAGTATTTTCCAGAAAAAATATTGTACAAAGAATTGTAGAGACTTTCTTATGTTTGTTTACTGGCATCAATTCCCCCACCATGTATTATTTTGGGATAGTAAGAAGAAGTTGGATGAATGCAGTGTGCACATATAGTGTGTTTGTAGTCACATTGACCACTCAAACGAGCCTCACTCACCCATTCACTTACAGCTGGTCTGGAAGGAGTTACACAGTTTACAAAGCTAGACAGCGCCTTTTTTCACTATCTTACACATTTCAGACACATCAGTAGACAGCGTGGGGTTTCGCAGCTTGCCTAAGGACACTTTGACAAGTCGAACAAAGTGTTGAGCGACTGGCAGGCAGCAGCCACGAGGAAACGCACACAGGCACAAAAAAAACACAGACGCTCCGCATTTTCTTTGTGGGCCGGTGGCTGCGTAGGTTTGAATAAATAACCATCTTACTGTGAGATAATAGACCTACTGTACTACACCACCATGCAGTAAACAGTAAACTTTATAAGTAGCTGTATGGCCGACCCCGATCTTATCATTATTCATTCATTTATTCAGGTCATACTGTAGTTCAATTAGATTATGAGATGAATTTAATTTGCAACTGGACTGGTTTGTTGGAAAATGCTGAATTTAACCGCTGGCTGCAAGTTTATGTCTACAGATAAGTTTATATGTTTTATTTATTTAGTGTTATATATCTTACTTTACACCTCACCAGGGTAAGTACAGATGGCTAAGGAGATACTGCAAGTAACGACTACTATATGACCAATTTGTGACATGGTTTAAAAACAGTCACGTCAGTGTTAAAGTAAGAACTGGTTTGATAAGTAGTAGGAAGAGAATGTTGAAGATTGATACCTCCTTAAATTAGGCAGCCTGCAGCAGCAGCTTGGGACATACTGTGTGTTTCTGTCACCTTCTTCCAAATTTTCTGCAGAGATTTCTTATGTGTAATCAGATTTCTGGTTAGTTTTTCTTTGCTAATTTGGATGCTGCGTGACCAAAAAGACTTGTTCTGACGATGTTTAACATAGATTATGATGCATTACTGTTAAAACTACTGGTAAAACTGCTGTCCGCTATGTCTGAAAGTGCCAGTTGATGGAGATGGGACAGAAACAGTGATTTTTCCGTGATCTTGAAAGTGATTGAGTTTTCTAGCAAATGATTTTGTCCAGAATGTTGGGGTGTATTTGTTGTTGTTTCACTAGAAAGTGGAGGTACCCTGCACTTTAGCAATCTGAAATGCTCACAGTTTCCTCATAGACCCACCACTCTCTGGCTCAACTACAACAAAACTCTGTCAACCTCGCCATGCAGAATTGCGCGTCCAGCTTTTTTTTATTTACTATACCAAAAAGCACATTAGTTTGCTGCGAAATTCAAATAAAATGTTGAGAAAAACTAAAAATAATCCTGACATATTACGTCCATCTCCACAAAGTCTGGACAATCATACTCACGCTGTTCTAGTATGCGGTCAGATAATCCCTTCTCATGGGCATCATTGACCAGCGTTGATGTGTACTACTTCTGTGTTGGTGAAACTTTGAGGAAGACACCATTTCCATGTGTCATCCGGCACTTGAGATCACTTCAGGAATCTGGAGAAGAATGCAGCAAGGGCAATCAGTTTTGGAAAAAATAGCTGTCATTCTTTAGTTTGAAGTTCTTTGAGTCAGCACTAATTTAAGATTATTAGGTAGTCCCTCTTAGTAGATAATGTAAATATGTGTTATGCTCAAGGAGAAAAGAAAGAAGTTCTATGTGGTTGTCTTTATTGGTGGTGCTTTTAGTGTGTCGCCCTAATGTTAATTTTTATCCAAGATCAGGACGCAGTCAAACTTCTTCTCAATAGTTCCCCATTTGTGTTCACCATTTCATTGCGGAGCTCTCTTTTACCTATTTGTTTGGCTTGGAACTTGGGGTGTCCCCAAAGGTTTTTAAAAGCACCGTGGCTTGCGAGTGTTAAGTCGTGCCTTGGTTTCTTGTTGTGTCCTCGGTTAATTGAAGTTTGAAAATCCAGTCTAGCTCCAAACACCAAATCAATCCTTTGCAAACAAAAGCCAATCCCAGCAGAACAATTTACCGCACCCCTTGGAAGATGTACCCTGGGGTCACTGCCCATAGTTGCTTTAGTTAAACTGGCGGAAAAACCCTTTTTTATTTATTTATTTGTTCATTTCTAATAAAGATCCCAGGTGTGGCTTAGTTATCTTGCATAGTACTGCTTCCTATAAGGCCCTCACAAGTAAGTATCCAAACTCAGGACACAAATTTGTCATGTTTAATGTCAGGCCTTCTAGCTGGTCTTATTGTTGGTAACTTTAGATTTGATTGGCTATCTCTGCTCTCCATCATGTGCACCTCCCCTTGCTGGAGTGTAAAGCTTTATTTATATATATATATATAGAATTCCCAAATGGTATTTATCAAGCCAGGTTTTAAAACCTAGAAAAATCACTTAGCTCTGGCACCACCCCCTACTCCCCTCATCATATTTGCTCTCACATCTCAAGAAAACGACAAATTCCTTTTGACACAAACATTTAGCAGGAAATGTGTCAAATAGTCAGTGCCCACTCTCACAGCTCTCCCACATGACATGACAGATTTGTGGAGTTGCGGAAGCAGATCTGAAAAAGTGAAATGAGAAAAACACTAAAGTAAATTAGGAATACTAAAATATAAATAAATATTTACTTTTTTGTGTGACTTCAAATTCAGATCAAGTTCTCACAATGTCACAAGTTACCTCTTCTCACTTTGTCTGTCAGAAGTGCTCAGTTTGTGTAGTACACTTTGTCACATTGTGCTGTGCTAAGTTCCAACATTCCATTCCATACTGACCTCTTTTGCTGTGGAGCTCTGCTGGTTTGTTATGATGGAGTGTGCGTTATATCATGGTTAACGTAGTGTGAAGGTGTTGCGGCGGAAAAATACAGGCAGTGACAACAGCACACTAGTGCAGGATCTCACGTCACCTGATCGAGTTCATGTTCAAGTTTTCGAAGTTCTTGAAATAAGTTACCTGTTTCGGTGTTAAAAAAAACAAGCAAAAATAGTGTGCATGCACATCACTGGGTGAATTAATTTTCTTAATTATCAATGGGTATAAACCTAAAGATGGGTAATCATTTACAAGGAGGTTATTTTTGGGAACACTATTGGGGGATTTATTGGGCATAACTTGTTCGCTCATAGAATAAGACCACATTTTTTTTAACCAATAATGCAATGTGTATCACATTTGTAGACACAGTTTCTGAAATGTTGTGCATCTGAGACCCCTTTGTATTATTTAATGATAAAAACTTTGAACAATGCCCTGTGGTATACAAAACCAGATACACTTGATTACAGCAGGCAGAAGACTATACAACAAAAATATTGGATTTATCACACAATAATAAATTAGGAATATAAAAAAATGTTTTCTCATATTTTAGTTTAAGGGCCCAAAGACTTCAAACAGAAAGACAAAAAAGTAAATATTTTTTCTTGGATCAGGTTTTAAAAGGTTAATACGAGGATCATTAATATAGATAATAAATTAAATTCAGACAAGCAGTGGGTAGTAGAATTATCTTAGACAAATAAGTTATTATCAAAAATTATTGGCATTTTATGGAAATTCTGTTTATACTATGCACAGTATGCATCACTGCATACTTATTACCTACACTATGGTGTAGGTAATGAATATCCAGCGATATTTGGCATTTCTTCTCTCTGGGCTATATAGCATGCCAACATTTGTCAAAGTGTTTCAATTAATTTTCTCTGCAATGTCACTGACTCATATACCCTTATAAATCATCAATAAAATAAGTTTAAAATGTGCAGTGCGTCGACCGCATTGCTCACCTGAGCGTTACAAACACATTACTCAGTCAGGTCAACTTTAGTCACAAGACTTTTGCATGATGTAGGAACAAAAAGGCCTCAGATCATCCTAGAATGTGTCAAATTTGTTATGATCTTTCCTTTTGCAGTTACTTCATCCTCAACAAGCGAACAGGGTTCTTAATCATCAAGGAGAACGCCCCGCCCGGCACCTATCAGTTTCAGGTCCGTGTTTCAGATGGCATTTGGGCCGATGCCATCTCCACTGTTACCGTGCACGTAAGGGAGCTGCGAGATGATGCCATTTACAATTCAGGGTCCATTCGTCTGGCAGGTAAGACTGACTCTGATAACTCACACTCACTACCAGCTCCGGTTTAAAATGGTTGTCTTTCTATTTTGTGGCCTGACATCTTTTCTCAATACTTATCATTTGACAAAAGGTCCATAAAGCGCAATAGACAAAACAGTTATTTATTGTTTTGACAATTATATATTTTTTTACTTTCATAGATTATGACTATGTAGGGTTGTCAAAAGTATCGATACTTAAAAAAGTATCGATACTAAAATGTTGTATCCGGATACGATACTCATTTTCAAAAGTATCGATACCAAGTATTATGTTAAAAGAGTGGATGTTAAATAGTTTTGTACAATAAATCCAAACAAGTTTAACCAAAAAAAGATTTATTTCTCACAATTACTAACGGAGGAGGGTCAGGGTTAGGGGTTAGGATTAGGGTCATTAATACGGGCCACCAGTCACGATAACATCAGTGACAGGTCAGTTTGAAATGAAAGACAATAACCTGTCAAAATTCTGTTAGATTTTGGGGTCTTTGTTTTATCCTTGTGGTATCGAAAATGGTATCGATTATCGAGTATTTTCCCGAGTATCGGTATCGAGTTGAAAATTTTAGTATCGTGACAACCGTATGACTATGGCGATAGAAACCCACTTAAACTATAGTCCAGCTGCTACAAAATGAACTTGTTATTACCCGGCCTGCTATCGACCTATTGAATGATGGCCTATGACTTTTCTTTTCACCACCGAAGTAACAAGTAATGTCAGTGCAAAAGCAGTACCAATTTGGGATGATCCCTGTTGACATGGAAGTGTTGGAGAGTGTGGTCATTATTGTGGTCACTTGTCTTCAGTGACAGAAATAGAGATGATCATTGTTTACTTACTGTAGTATGCAGCATTCATCTGAAGGTATTTTTTAAATGAATTTTTTTCAAATAGATTTATACACATTGCTAATTTCTCTACTGGGACACCCTGAAACGGCAGCGCACACTTGGGAAAAGCCCGTTTCCATTACTTGAAGGCTAAATAATTAGTTGTGGATTCCCTTGCCCAGCTCATTCGCCTTACATGTTCAACAGCATCCATCATTACCTGATGTACAGCATATGTGCTGTCTGCACAGAATTAAATTAGTTTTGGAGATATAGGACATGGCTGAAGGATTTTTATGATTTCAGAAATATTACTATATATAAGAAGCAGGAGAGAGCGATTGAAGCTCCCTTAAAGTGAGAGAAGACCTAAAGAAAAGATTCAGGGGGAAAAAAAAATGTGCAAGTGAGAGGCTCACATGAATTAAAGTGCACTAAATCCAGAGACAGCATTAGTGTGCACATAAACGTTCAAATCGGAAAAATAAATGCATGTGGAAAATAAAACAAGACCATTTTTGTCTTAGATTAATATTGCAAATAAATGTGTTTTATTTGATCAATTTCATTTCATTTTATTTTTTCAATGTCATTGTATTTGTCACAAGTACTTGCATTTGAAACAGCTTTGTTGCAAATATAAATTATTAATCGGCTTGCCGCTGTTGGCAGGGTTATCATTGGAAACTTGTATCTAACTGCTGCCATCAAAGGGATTGTAAGGTAGTTTGTGCATCGATTTGACATGGACCTTTTGAATGAGAGAGCACCAGTGTCAGGTATTAAGGAAAACACTCAAATCACCTTTTCAAATCACTCAACGGCTTTTAACCTGTAGTTCAGCAAGCAACAATTTCAGAAAATAAACCTGAACATGCCCTTCTAAAATTAAATTTAGGATTAATGACTGAGGTTCAGGCAAACAACCAAAATGTGTGTGTGTGTATTTATAAAGGATACGCAACAGCAGCCATTTCCAGGATTTTATTTTTCCACGCGGAGCTTTGGAGTAAACAGTCATTGATTCTCAGTCTGGGGGATTATGAAAATATTCTGCTTATAGCATTACTTACACCCTCCTTGACATTCTAAATCCCATTTCAAGAACAAATGTGGAATGCAATAAGGAAGCTCAAAGAAAGCACTAGTTAAATCTGCCTTACAGAGATTAAAGCGTCCTCTCCTCTCACTCTCCCACTTGCTTTCTCAATATTGTTGAAAAGGTAAAATTGTCGTAAACAGAAAGTCCTTGAAATGTCCACATAACGCAGAGAGTGAGAGAGAGAAAACCACGGTCGGACGCAATACTTAATTTTTCGGCATGTAGCAGGCTGACGCTATTTGTGTTTCGCCATGGAGAGCCTGTAAAGCATTTCCAACCAAGTCATTGTCTTTTGAAAAAGAATCTAATGTAGGGAATAAGGAGAATAATTATCTGTCACTGTTCTCGCCTCAGGTGTAGTGCGACTTGATTAAGCACTGAAACTCGTCTGATGGAACGCTCCCAGCGTGCTTACTTTGTGCCACCGAGTGGCTGAGGGGAGAAAAATACCCAAAACTTAAGCTAACGTGTTACATTTCAATTGCTTCATAACGGTGCTGAAGGTCTCTTGTAAAAGAAGGCCTTGCCAAGGCAAGGAAAAATAGATTAGTTCATATAAACAGGCTGGTATAGCTACTCAACTGTCACCACCTGTCAGCTAGGCTGTAAACCGGTCATATAAAAGAGGAGGTTGAGGACTGCCAGCACCTGGGCGATCCGTGTGTGAATGCCAGCATTTGTCTAATAGCTATTCCTCTAGCAGCTGTGGCTGATAAGCTAGCTGACCTAGCTGCTAACAGCTGTTGTTTTGGTGGTCTACAGAGACACCAATAAAGCACTGAGCTCTTTTCCATCTTTTCCTCATTTGATTTAGATTGCTCATGTTGAGAATATCTCTGTTGTTAACCCTGTAATTCCAAATGTATCATAAACAATACATACGGTTTCTGAAATTTTTTGCGTCTGACACCTTTTGCATAATTTAATGGTAAAAACTTTGCTCAAAATCCTATTGTACACAATCAGATACCTGATAACAGGGGGCAGAAGACTAGACAAAAAATAATCTTGACTTATCGCATGGTAACAAATTATTAATATTAAAAATGTATTTCAGTTTTTTCTTTTTACATATTTTGTTAAAAGGCCAAATAAAGACTTCAAACCAAAAAAAAAAGTAATTTTCTGTTTTGTTTTATTCTTGGATTAGGCTTTAAAGGGTTAAAACTGGGGATGTCTGGCCTACTAACATACTGGATTTGTGCATCCAAGCTATGCTTGTTTGTGATAAAGTTGTTTCCCTCGTACAATGTCACTTGCATTTTTTTATAATGCATATATTCACAGTTACTACTTACAAGATAACTGAATTCACTGCCATCAAAACATAATTCATTAGGTTATCACGTCCATTCCTGTGAAAAGGGACTCAATAGAATATGTATTAGATGTAATCACTCATTTGCAATATATGTGTTTTTTAAACAGGTAATAAATAAAAGAAAAAAGATTGTTTTTTATCCACTAGCTCCTATTATACATTACATATAGAGAACAGACATGCATGATATCCCCTTTTAGATCAATTATATTTTAAAATAAACATAAAGCCATGCATGTGAAGCTCAATATTCAGAATAATTTGACAAGTTTGATGACAGAATGAGTTCATAGAAACTCTATTACTCTACAGTTCTTGGTATTATCTCTTTCACAACATGGCCAGTAGCATGCTTATTAATTTACCCTGCAGCATTTTTTTTTCTCTTTTTTTTTATAGCTTAGTTGAAAGCTTAGCAAGTTGTCGTGGGGCTGATGTACCCGTAGTATCACTGGTGCTGTGGAGCTGTGCTGAGCCTGTAGGGGTTTCTTCAAACTCCTGATGAGGAGTTTTAACTTTTTATCTCCAAGGCATCCAACATAATTGACAGGACCGCTGTCATCTCTTGCTGGCTGACTGAGCCAACGAGATCCAGCGTATATACCTGTGATTTATCTTTTTTTAGAAAGTTTACTTGGTGGCAACATAATGTATGGGCTGATAAAGTGAAATACAGACAGCAACAAAGTACTCAGATTGTTTCTTTGAGTGATAAAGCAATTTCAGAAAGAACATTTATATGAAATACTAGGCAAAATGTAGGTGTGAGTCAAGGTTTACAAAAAAAAGGAAACCCAATCATAGAGAACATGTCAAATACGAAAAGTGTAAAGTTTGAAGTTTAATCGTGTAACTTCAAATATTGCTTCGTATTTGACTTGATGGTAGCAACAAATGTATTGAATGTTTATCCCTGTGCTCCGTGCCTTCTTTATGTAGACACAGTTTATAATCCATTGTCACACTTTATGAGTAAATCCAAGGGTACAAAGCCAGTAAGTGTAGACACCTATTAAAAAGATGAAAAAGTTACATCGCAATGGGGGCAACTCTTATCCTAAAGACAAAGATAAATGACAAATGACAAATGACAAAAAAATGTTCATGCTTTTTATGGATATTCATAACTATATATAGATTTATATTTGTTAGAGGATGATATTTCTTTATTTATTTGCCTATATTTGTGAGAACTAGTCAGGCAACAGACTGGACAGTGAATTTGCACTGATTCTGATGAAGCCTCCAGGAAGTCGAAAGCAGAAGTGAGCTGTGAGGTTGGATCAAAGCCAGGTGCAAAAGGCTGCCATTCTATGTTAGGAGTTACTATCCATCCCCCCAGACGCTCTCACTGTCACTCTGTCTGTCAGAGTCCCTGCTTCTCCTGCTGGACAGAGTGATGGGATCCGACATTCGCCCCAGTCCCTCACATTGTAACCACCACCCCCAAGTCTTGTCTTTTAACGCACAGGCTCTGTCTGCCATGTTTAGCTCACCGACCTAATCACCCAGTCCTCTTAATCCTCTAAAGAGTTCACTATGTATTTATTTACATGAGTGCACATACAGTGCATCAGCATTCAGTATTAGAATGCTAAATATTCTAAGCATTTTTTGCAATCTAGATCACCAAATAATTGGCTTTGATCTTATCTTTTAAAGGGTGAGCCCACTTTTTAACTGCTTGAATCTAAGCTAAAGCTACTTTAATGTAAATTCAGACTGACAATAATTGCTTTCCTAATGAGGAAAAAAGTACCAAAGAGCACCACTTTTCTTTTTCTTTTTTTCAAATTCTACGCAGAGACTCCCACACGCTTAATGAAACCTCTTCCACGGTAATTTGCATAACTACATTATAATGCATACAACAATCCCAAAAGGTAAGCATGTGTGATCTTAAATCTGTTATTTACTGCTTCCTTTTCAACCGTGCGATCATTTCCCATTGGGATACCTATCCATTATTCTGAGTTAAAAATTCTTCTTTTTAGATAAATACCATTTTACTTGCATACATTACTTTGTGGCTTTATCAACTGACGATTGCTGTTTTCTTTTTTTTCTTTTTATTTTTACAAAGCAGCCTCTAAGAGAGCCCTGGATGTTGAGTGTTGTGACAAACTTTGACATGTCACATTATTAATAAAGCTTTGACATTTACATTACCTAGCCTTTCCTATAAATGACTGTGAACAAGCCCTAGACCAAACAGACTATTAAGGTGTACTTGCTTTTTCAAAATTAACTGACAGGGCAGATTTCCTTTAGCTGATTGTCCTCTTTTTCACGGTGAAGTTGCGCAAAAACAAATAATACAACTGTTATTTTATCTTTAATGTACTGTATCTCTTATGGAAAGCTTATTTATGTATCTGTCTGCTTTTCTGATTGATTTAAACATTTATTCAACCAGGGGTACTGTATATAAGCCTCTAGAGATGTAGAATTGTATTATGCAACAGTGAACCTGATTAAAGTATAATGGATTAGAATGACTGTGTTTCAGTCTTTGAGCTGAACCAAATAACCCAAATTAATTTATTATTTGGCTCACTGTAGGCTGGTGTCCTTGAGGATTTCCTTTCTTTGAAGTTACCTTTGTATGATTGACATAATTTTGATGATGTATGCCAGTGACCTTAAAGTTCATGGTTGTTTGAAATGAAATAAATCCAAAATGTAACTCATAGAAGAGCCACATAACAAAATGACTCTTGTTATGAGTCAGTTTTGTATTGATTGTATGCGAAATGCACAACCCACCAGCATATTGTGCTGTCTGGCAAACTGCGGTACTAATGACATATTACATTACTAGTTCATTTAGAAACGGTATGAAACTTCTTTATCAAATGATGGCAATGCTATTACCATTATCTTTATAGCAGAAGTCTTAATCTGCAGTTTTCCTTTTCATCCTACCTATTTATTTATCATTGCATTATTTTAATGTGCCACCTGTACTATACAGTGATCATTTCTGGAAGTTTCAAGTTGAACTTCACCTTAAAGTGCAAGTGTTTTGTCTTGAATTTTAGTGCTAACACTAGAACTTAAAGTCACGGCCCAACTGATTTCTTCATATTAATGACAAGGGTCAAAGGTTCCAGAATACATGAAATGGTTATCGTGATATATTTCTAATGACCGTTCAGATGTGGAAAGATATGCACAATTTTTGCACTGATTGTATCAGTGGAAAAGTAAACAGATGTAGTTTTGATTAAGAATCAGAATTGTGTTTACTGGTCAACTATGGTAACATGTACAAGGAATGCAAACCTAGCCATTGGTGTCCATCATGCAGCAGTGTTCACAATACTGTATCAACGATGTGAAAGGCAATATCTTATATACAGTCATGCAGTATAAACATTAGGAACAAACTATTTGAGGTTTCTGAAAGATATGTAATTTTTTGTGATTTTTTCTCTTAAGATTTAAGCTGTTTTTGTCAATTGGTTCCTGAAAGGAGAACACAGTTTTTGTGGTCTAATGTCATGCTTGATACATTTCTAACCTCTCAAGTCCAGTCAGTTTGCTGAAGTTTGTGTATAAGAAGGGGGAATTCAATTTGAAATCTTAATTATTTAAAAATGGTAAAAGACTGAGATCTCACTGCGAAGGAATGGTCACTCGAGAAATCCTCCAGAGCCACGATAAGAAGACGACTGATGGAAAAGAACCTCAGGGAAATATTAGCAAGAAAAACTGTCCGAAAAAAGATTAAAAAAACAGAGTGTAAGCTGGGACCAAATTAGCCTAATAGTTACGTTTTCTGGCGGCAATGTGTGAAAAGGACTTAGATGTATTTTATTATTTTATTTATATTTCTCTAAAAATTTCTATATATTTCTAAAAAAAAAAAATCTTGTTTTGTTTGACTAATACATTGGCTAAGGACTGTATATATTTAAAACAAGTAGCATTTGCAAGTACTTAATTTTATGATTATATAAAATATGTTTTTTTTTACTTCAATATCAGATGCCTCCTGATAATTATTGGTGCACACAGCTCTAGGAGTGTTAAGAGTAAAGTCCTGGTATATTATGTTAAATATTGGCTTTTTTCTGAGATATAAAGAATGAATAAAATGGTGGTACATGGAGCCACTATGTCTTCATTTATGTTCTTTCTGCATCAAAAAAGTCAAACGCCTGACCTTTCATAGAACAGAGAGATGCAACTTGAGTCAATAAACTTGTTTCTCCAGATAATTCTGTTTAGTTTTATAAGAAACTGAACCTGATTATCTGAATTACATCTATATATGAATATATATGTGATTGCCAAGGATTTTATTAAGCCTACACTGACTCAGTGCCATCACCACACACACTCACACCCAGAGACAAGTGCTACTGACACCTTAAAAGAACCTTTTTTCCTAAAAAATGAGACATTTTAAATAATTTATCAACATTCCAGTTCCGATCTCGAGTATACTGGACTATTTCTTGCTTACGCAGTTTTGAAATAATTGGAGTTAAGCTATCGAGCAAGAATGGAAATAATGAGGTTATGGATTCCAATCCTGTTTATGTGTTCCTCAGACATCACAGCAAAGGAGTTCATTGAACTGAGAGGGAAGCAGCGGAGCCGCTACGAGCTGCTGGTTGACTTCTTGTCCGAGATGCTCTCTGTTCCACACGATGAAGTCAACATCTTCAGCTTAATGGATGTAAACGAGCGGATGCTGGATGTTCGCTTTGCGGTGCAAAGCGGACACTCTCTGCTCCAGCCTGAGAAAATGCACGGTTATCTGGCTGCCCACAAACAAAAGGTAGGTCACCTTTTCATGTTGTGTCGCTTTTAATCCACACTGACACATGAGCTATGTACTCTACAGTCCTGCCAGCTTGATTGTTTTGTTGTCTGCTCTGTTGGTGACTCTTCCCTTGATTGACTGACACTCTCATAAACTAACCAACTGCACTCTATGTGGTAAATAAACTTTAAAGTCAGAGGTAAGTTGAGCACAGAAAAGTCTTATATTCAAGAGTAAGACTTCAAAACGGGGTTGTTCTCTATCTTTAAATGCATTCCTTTAAGCTATACAGGAAGCCTTGAATAAGCTATCTACTTTCTAAGTTTTTGCTCAAATTAGTTTATTTCTTTGGATATCATAGTTTATGGTCTGTTATTTGTAATTTTTCATTGAATAAAACTTACATTTCATCCAAACCCTCAAACAGTACTAACACACTGAGTGTGGAAAAAAAACAAAAAAAACAGCTATATTACTCATCATTCATCACTCATTTAAATGAATGATGTTTTATGAAAAGTCAATGTCATTAGATGTATTTTTCCATTAAAAAATATTTGGAGAAAAGGAAGAATGCTATTACAATTATGTCAGCATCAAAGATGGCACTGAAATAGATGGATTGTGGTCATTTACATCTATATAACAGCACTTTAATATGCAAGGAATTCTTACAGAATTGTTGTTCATAGCAGATCATTTGATTGGTGGGTTTCACATATGTTTGTTTTGAAACAAATATGTGAAAAGTACAGCAACGTTTCAGTTATTACAAAAAGGGAATGTTCAGCTTGCTCCTTTCTGTGTCCGTTTTAAACCTTAATAATGATAATAGTTGACCAATTAAAGGTAGATGCATAAAACAACAGACAAGGTCATGTTGATCTAACACTTAGTCAACATTAAAAGTTTTTTTCAGAACTCAAAGTTGGTGTTGCTGTGTAGCTTTTGAGATTCACTTTATCTCTTTCTTTTAATGTTAATTTTGAGCTTTCACATGCGATATTTGCTAAATCTGATGTCAGATTCATTTCTAAATCATTAAATACAGTTTAAACATTTGGTCGAAGCAGTTCACCTGTGAGGGTTCTTTTCAAAAATGTATTTGTGTCTCTTTTAAACATTCTCAGCCAACGGTGATCATCCAAAGCCTGAAAGAAACGGTTTATGTCATACTTTTCCCTGGGAAATGCGACCCGGTTTTGCCCATTGTTCGCATTGAGAATTACACACCCACGGAAGAAAAAAATAAATAAATGTGCCTTTTTCAATTTCTAAAATTCCTCAAATATTTGCCTGCCTGTGCAAAATGTTAAACTGCAAAGAGTTCAGTTAAAATTAAAGTCAAATCAAAATGATGGTTTTCCTGAACAGTAAAAAATCTGTTTATCAATTTCTTACTGAATTTACTGGATCAGTACTTAATGAAAAATCTCCCCTTCCCGTGAACCCAAAATAGACAGCGAGCAGCGATGATCAACATGTCTTGGGGGTTATTAGTTTCTAACCTCCTTTCACCAGTGTTTTGGCAAGTTGGTCCCACAACACTTCCAGGAGGCGAGACAGTGATCTCTGATGTTCCAGAGTCACTTCCCTAGTGTCAGCCATCACCACTCCTGCAGCACAACAGTCTCTTCTACCACAAAGAGCACTGTTATCAGCTACCTCCTCGTACACTTTGCCGAGCATTATCGCGTGACACCATCACACCACCAGTTCTTCCAACGATCCGGTTGATCCCGCGTTGCGATTACTACACAGCGCCGTGCCAATTGGCTGTCACATCTCCGTGACACGTTCCAACCGGCGGCGAGATCTGCAGTGTAGATCATCCTGGATGCGAATTTGGGTCATATCAATTATTGACTGTGGAATGAAAAATTTCCTTATTTTTGTTCATGAGGGTGCTTTGTTTTTGTTTTTTTTTTCTCGTTATGTTATCGTTGCTTACAGTGAAATAAACAGTTAAAAATGTGGCCTGAGGATCACAAATGGATGCTTGGTTGATGTGAATATTGTAGGCATCCAGCAAAAATGAATAAAAACGAATAAATTGAATGTTTCCATTTTTCTTGAGTATACTTGAGAAAAAAGAAACACGAAAAAACTAAATACAGAAAAACTACTGGCTGTATGACACTTATTTTTACTGTAGTGATTCTTTACAATGAAGAGGGTATTTAAAATATATGTATTTTCATCTATTCAACAATACATGTTTTGATATATAACATTTCATTAACAGGAGTTCAGACTAAAACAAATTTGAATTTTTCAGAAAAAAACATATCTCTATAGTAAAGAGTAAAACCTTAAGCAGAGTAATACTTGCTCCCTGGGCACTGGCTTCAGTCAGACCTCATTTCACGTTTCACAAGTCTGAATGGAAGTGGGAGACCTATAAGTGTGTGTGTGAGTGTGTTTGAGAGTCATCGACAGAGGTTAAATTGTGTGCATTTCACAGACGAGGGGAAAAGAGCAGAACCGGTGTCCTCAGTGGGAAATATGAGCTGAACTGTATTGCATGTTTATGTTTTTTTCGAGAAAAAAAAAAAAGAAAAAACATCCAAGTCTGGTCATGATCGTGCTGGTCACTTTGGTTGAATCACCACACAGCCTTTTAAAGCTTCTCCTCTGGATGAACTCCAGTTCCGTGTGACAATCTTTAAGGGGAAAATAAAGATTATACATGCGAAGAAAAACCTGCGGTTTATGGATAAAATTTCAGAATGAGCTTGGCATGAGAGAAGCACAGTGAGAGAGAGAGAGTGAGAGATGTGAAAGCAGAGAGGTATAGGCTTTCAGGTGTGATTTGTGAGGGGAGCACAGAGCATTTCATCTGAATTCAGCTAAGTTCTCTGGAGAAGACATTGATCAGAATGAGATGTGAAGCGTGGCGAGAGAGAGGATGAATGAGAGCCGGAGAGACGGAGGAGGAGGAGGGGGGTTTGTGGACAAGAAAGAAAGAGGAAGGGCACAGTGGAGGAGATGGAATGAGGGGGGAGGGGGCACAAGATAAAGCAGTGCTTATTATTAATGGTTTCGATTCTGCAGTAATGCCTCAGAAGTAGAAGTTTCTTTTTAAAAGAAAAAGTCTTTACACAGTATATCCTTCTGTTTCTCCCTGCTCTTGCTCAATAATGAAACTTATCCCTCAGTGTTTTCAATCCAGCTCTCTCCACTTGACTTTTAATGATAGTACACTAGTTTATGTTTTTTTTTTTTTTTCAAAACCATTGGTATGGCACTTGGATACCCATGTTCATCTTGTCATTATATTAATGTAGTCCTTAGGGCTGGAAAGAGGATTGCAAGAGCTCCTAAATGCACTGGAACAATGGTCAAAGGAACAATACATCCCTACGGTCTTTTATTCCTTCTCAGACAGTACTGTTCAATCTTTGAAAGATTCAGTGTTTGGCTTTCTGTGCATTTCGGATTGTTCACATTTGGGAGCATAGCTACAAAGGATATGGAATGCTGCCCTTTCAGCAGCCATTGTAAACTCCGCAGGTTCCAGGTCTTGAATGTAAGGTGAAATTGTTTCTTAATAAATGCATTAGTGAACTGCACATTTGAGAGAATGTATAGTCATTGCTATATGTTTGCATTGCAGATATATTGTAGCTATATCAAGCTTTGAATCACTTATCATTAAAAATTTATTAGCTGTTAACTTTGTTTGGATGAAATAATGCGACAGTTTATTGTTCCTGTTTGAATTAATTGTCTTTTATTTTCCGACGTCAATAGACAGTAAAAATTAGATGAACGAATTCACAACTGAAAATGGTACACACTATTTTATTTTAATCTACCTTACGAATTCAAACCATTACCTCAGTTCAACTGGAATTGATTTAATTAGTGTTTTTTTTGTTTGTTTAAAAAAAGCAAACCAAAGTGATTTGGAAGAAAAGAACAAATGTAATTGTCAAGAACCCAAGCAGCATAACAAAGAAAAATCACATCACTCCTAAAAACGATTAGCAATAACTGTGAAATATTAATATTAGCCATACAACAATCAATTAGTCTAACAAATTTAAATGACAAAAGTAATGTTTTTGATCAGTCTTATAAGCAGAGAAATAGTTTGAAGCCTTTACCCAAATGATTCCTGAAAAATAAAGGCTCCGCTTCTCCTCTCTAGAAAATTGGTGGGAAAAAGAACTAAAACAAACAGCTGATGCTTCTGTTATCTTTATCTTATCTTTAATGTTATCTTTAATGTTCTAAACAATAAGATCTTGAGGAGCTTTGGGTTTATTTCTCCTGAATACGTGAAATCTGTTTCTCTAATGGCTGCAGCAGTCAGAATTATGGCTGCAATGTTTTGGATCAGCGTTTAGGCACACAGTTGAAATTGAATAACAGTTGTCCCGTGTAGAAGTAATAAATCCAAAGGCCAGTTTAATTATGCTTTTTTAGGACTGAATGCTTGATTGTGGTTGCATTCCACAGATTAAAGACTATATACGGTCAGTTTAAAGACAAATACTGTTCTAAGGGTATTCCAAAATTTGTCACAATAGTACTAGAAGACTATAAAATGTCATCCAAATAATATTTATGTTTAGAGAGCGAGTTGACATGGCCAAAAAAACAATTATATCCTTTATCTAGACACAAATGTATAGGGAAAAAACACACAATTTTTACAATATTTTACTTTTTTTGAGAGGTTCTTCTAGCCATGGTAACTAATTCAATTACTATTCCAGTAATGTGTAAAATAGTTCAGAATTTGAAATGAGGTCATTTCAATCCTCACCAGGTTGATAAGCCAAAAGCTGCAGATGTGTGACAGCTCTTTGCTCAGGTCTTTCACAGGAAGCTCAAAATCACAGATCCGGACATCAATAGATCATTTTCCACCCTGATGGCACGAGTATATTCCAAAGTGACTAAATTGCCAGTCATGACTTTCAAATTATAAAAAAGTGGCCCAGGGACCATTAAGCATAATTTTCAGACCAGATCTATCTGGAATCTATAGGTTCAGGGCTGGTAAGAACTGACTCAAGTCATCATTTCAAGCTCTGGATACCTCTGGGGACAGAAAAATAGCATTGTGACATTTTATAAGGTATTGACATGCCAAATTAAAAGTGTGCAATCATCCAACAAAGTATTACTATGAATGCTGTCTTTTGGCCTGGGAGCCACTGACATAAGAAAATTGTTGTGCATCAGCTAAGAAAATTAGTCATCTAATGTCTAATAAAAAAGAAAAACAAAAACAAAGAAGTTAACAAGAGGGTTTTCTCAGACGTGCATCGATTTATCGATATAACTTGGTACTGATACTGACAAGCAGGCAGTGTTTAAAGCTCAACTGATAACATTGGCGTTGAAAACATCATGCTTATGCAACTTCCTCATATGTCATATTAGGTGAAAATGTAGAGTAGCATTACTGGATGGTTAGTCATTACAGTGCTGTCACAGTGAATGAAGTCCAGTCAGTCCAGAACAATGAGCATAACGTGGCCTGCTTTCATTTTATTCACAATGTTTTGTTTCTGTGAATGCAATGTTGCTTGAATAATGTCAGTCTTACCAACGGAAATAGTATATTCAAACGCCATTCGACACAGACATACACATTTCTATACATACCTACACGTATGAATGAAGGCAGCAGTATACAATGTCATACATGGATTGGGATGACAATGAAATATGTATAGACACATATAGGAAACATACACAAGTAAATACGTGAATGGAGGTAGGCAATGATATATATGCAGACATTATCACAGGTAAATGGAAGGCAATTTAAGTTGTCTGTATGGTGTCCTCAACATTTTTTTTATGTCTTCATAAAATTAACTGATGGTTACCTCATAAAATTTCATATATATGTTGGGTCTTGTTTGAAAACTGTTTTTACTTAGAATTTGAATTATGTGACCCCCAATTTAATTTCTTTCATTTGTTGATGTACTAAATTGCAGATGAAGGATACAGTGGTCCAGCACAAATATACTTACAATTATTATTATTCCCCTTTTCTAGGTGTTCAGCATTTAACTTACATATAATTTCCCCCTTTGTTACATTTACTAACACTATTACTTGACTGCACAAATTAAAATTAAGTCTTTCTTTTAAAACAATTTCAGGAGAAAGATTTTGGTGAAATTACTTATCCTCCAAAAGACCGGGAAATAATGTAGTTATTTCATTAAAGTTTGTTCTAAGACACAAGTAAAGATTAAATACAGTCATTTGCAAAGACTTTCAAACATTTATTTGTTGCTGCAGCAGGCAGTATTTGTTACCAGGCTGCAGTGTGTATACTTTGTCTCCATGCATTGATTCACCACGTGCAGTGACAGATGGCTGTCTCTATGCTATTAACCCCCCCAGTCCTACTCAAGACAACTCTGTGAACTGTGAGGGCTCTATTTGAATGTATGTTTTTTTTTAGTATTACTGTATGTTTGTTCTAAACCTCATGCCGGTTTCCTTCTGTTGTTTTTTTTTCCTGTTTAGCTCCAGTCATTCCTTCAAGTCGGTGTGTTCCAAGTCCGTGTGGATGAGTGTACGAGTTCCAATTGTGCTGGAACGGGTGGCTGCACCAACGTTTTGAGCGTCAGGGACATGCCCACAGTGGTGGACTGCGGGACTATGAGTCTAGTGTCAGTGACGGTGGAATCCACCGCTGTGTGCTCCTGCCAAGGTAGAGAGCAGCAACATCAATCCTGCTCTACATATCCCAGAAACCCCTGCTTCAACGGTGGAGTGTGTGTGGACACGCAGCACGGCTATAGGTGAGTTGATGAATAACTTCTATGTGTACATACAGTATGAATTTATGGCTTCTATTTCCATGTCTGGATGGATACAATCAAACTATGCCCATTTTTATTCACTTTATCACAGTTTGAAAAGTTAGAACCTTTAAAGGAGACATATTATACCCTATTTCAACAAGTTTAACTAGTTTCCTGGTGTCCTAACGTAATGTCTGTGACACGCTTTGGTCAAAATACATTAAGGATGAAGCACAATAGCAGTTCAATCACCCTGCCAAAACAACCCTGTTCAGAGCGCTCGGTTTTGAGTGCCTGTTTCTCTAAATGCAAATGAGACACAGGCAAGCGACCCACTTCTTCCGGGGCGTGTGCTGAAGTCGGCATGCTAACGCTACGCTACGCTACGCCACGCTGACGCTCACGCTAACACGACGTCTGCCACAGATAGGCGGAATAAGCTGAGGTGGGTGGAAACATGCAGGTGAAAGGCTGGAATATTATAATGAGCTAGAGCTAATGACGTCATAAACTACCAACTCCTGGAAGCTCCTGATTTATCTCCTGTATTGAGACTGAGGCAGCCCACAAAAATATGACTGAGTCAGTTTTTTTCACACTTTGCCTGCTGATAGTCCCTCCACAGTCCCAAATGTACATAATCAAATGATTAAAAACTTGGTTTTGCATAATATGTCCCATTTAATGCAAGCTGTCATCTGCATTATGAAACATGAAGAGGAAATTGCTGGACATACACAGGCCAAGCATCACCCAGCATCACATGTATAAAAACAAAAATCGAATGGTCCGTTCGTTTGCTAAATTCTTTCTTCCTTGTAGCAGGGGGGTGCTGGAGTATTTCTCAGCTGTCATTGGGCAAGAGGCAGGGTACACCCTGGACAGGTCGCCAGTCCTTTACAGGGCCACAAGGAGACAAATAACCACACACACTTATGCTTACTCCTACAGGCTCCAATAATCCTAAAATCCATGTTTTTGGACGGTGGCTAAAGTACCCGGAGAGAACCCACAAAAACACAGAGAGAAATCACAAAGAAAGGCCCAAGGCCCTTGGGGTTTCAATTCGAAAGTCCTATTGTTCTGAGGCGATAGTTCTAAACGACCACACCGCAATTGGATGAACTTCAGGAAATTAAAAATGGAGTTGCCTTACAGTTACTTACTTTATTATTTAGGGAAATATTTCCTTAAAAAAACAAATCTCTACAAATTAGGATGTCTTTACTGGAGCTTGGCTTATGCAAAAATGATGGCTAGTGACAGCTGGGATGGAGTCCAGCACACCAGTAATCCTACTTGGACCAAACAGGTATAGACAATGGATGGATAGATCAAATTACTCTGCAGTGGAGAGGGTCAGAGAGAAAATGAAATCCCTTTGCCTCAATAGGTTCTGTATTTTAACTTGTGAGACATTGAACGCAGTGAAGAATATTTGGAAACAAGATATTCAGGAACCAGGGGACATCTTGATACTGAATGTCAGATTGTTGGTAATCCTTGCCTACACACATGGTTTAGCTACAGACTTCTGATCTGCTGTTACGCTTAGCTAAAAATGACTCTGTTAAAAAAGGCAGTTTGATTTCACCCATTTTTAATAGGAAAAGCTCATATGGTTGGGTTTCTTTGTTTGAAGAATTTACAAGATTAAATAATTTTGGAGTCAATCACAATCATTTACTGAGTAACATTTAGTTCAAATGTATTGCAGCTTGCATATTTTTCAAAGGACATTTTCATTGTGAGTAGGAACATTTTAACATCCTGGTGTTTGAATAGATCTGCAATATTTCACAGGTAAATGAAAAAGAAACAAAATGACATGTTAAGTAAAGGTAGCCGATTTACTCTCTTGTTTTTTTATATTGATGAGCTATAACTTATTAGTTGCCCAAAGATATTAATACAGCAATGCTTCCGCCCTTAGAGATATAATTTCCAGCACGGAAAATAGATCAATAAATGAAAAAATCTCAGGACCTCAGAAATGAGATTCCTTGAAACCCCCGCATGTGTTAGGGCCAAGCTGAGAGCAAGCATAAAAAGAGCACTGTCAGTAGGCCAGTCCTGAGGTAGAATAGTGTCAATCTGGGACATGAGATCATTCAATGTCTTGAAAAGTTATGCTTATGCCAAGGTCTCCCCTTTGCCAGATATTACAAATTCTTGGTTTTGGACTTTTTTTCTTCTATTTGCAGGCTTTCAGATTCAAGCAGTTTTTTTAATTTTATCTTTCTTTATAGGCAAGATGCATAACCTTCAAGTCATTCACAGTTTGATTATCGCTGGTATTGACAATAGAGAAAAATGTCAACACACAATGGTGAAATAAAGTCAGAATCTGTTTGTTTTTCATTTGTTTGACGAAAGAAAAATATTTTACCAGAAGCAGCAGAGCTTAGAACACTGAGGAGACTGTGATACAAAATAAGGCGCTAGTCTGGGATGTGTGCTTTTATTACTGTGTAGTAGACAGTGTTGAGTTTAGATGAAACTACCTCTAATTATATCATACTTAGTACAGTAAATTGTCAAATAACTGGGATGCTGTTTAACTCCCAGGTTTTATCTCTGGGACGCAGACTAGTTATAAATATAAGAAGATGTTACTTCTCACAATTGTGTGAGAACTACACAAAGACGTTCAATTTAAATTAAGACGTGCCTTATTTTCATGTTAAATTAAATGTTGAACCCTAAAAAAGCTGGTAAAGTCATCATAATCTCGTGGTTGAATTTTACTACACTAAGGGTTTAGGACTTCATATCACACCACATGATATTATTTAATCATTTTCTTTGTACTTTTTTTGTCATGATGTGCCGAGAGCAGAACTTGTCTAATTAGCACCTGAAATTCTGACCCTCGTAAATGTCTACACGCTCTGAAATAACAAATGATGTTTAACAAAACCTTAGCTCCAAAAACAGTTCCACACCTGAGTGGCATTTAATCTGTCTTGCATACCTATGTCAAAACCCTGCCACTCGTTAGTTTGTGTCTGAACACTCGTGATTTCGGGAAAAATTGAAAAATAAGTGCACAAACATTTGGTGACGCTGGGGAAATAACAGTCGTGTTCTGAAGAAGCTTTATTGAAAATGATCCCTGTTGTGACTGGTCAATAAGCCCAGAGTGTGTTCACCGAGTAGATTCTAAAACTGCAGTTAAAACTCCAACATATGCTGTGAGTTAAGTTATTTAAGTCAAAGTAAATGATAAATCAAACATGAATAGTGTTTGCACAGCCATCACAGCTAACCCCTGCTGATGTGGTGCAGACAACCAGCAACTGGTGCTCTAGAATTTTATTCCTAGCATTGAAAGAATTCAACAAAAAATCGCAGCATAATATCCATCCATCCAACTATCCATTGTCCACCGTCTATTTGTGGGGGCAGCAGCCAAACCAGGGAAACAGGGACTTCCCTCTCCCCCACCACTTCAGCCAGCTCCTCCAGGGGCGTTCCGAGGCTAGCCGAGAGATATAGTCCCTCCAGCATGGCCCAGAGTCTTCCTCTGGGCCTCCTCACGGTGTGACGGAGCCACCACAACTGGCTCCTCTCAACGTGGAGGATCAGCGGTTCTACCCTGAGCCCCTCCCAAATGACTGAGCTTCTCACCCTATCTCTAAGGGACAACCCAGCCACCGTGAGGAGAAAGCGAATTTTGGCCGCTTGTATCCGCAACCTCGTTCTTTCGGTGACAACACAAAGTTCGCGACCATAGATGAGGGTAGGAACGTAGATCGACTGATGAATAGAGTGCTTTGATTTTAAGATCAGCTCTCTCTTCATCACAACAGACCGGTACAGTGCTCGCATTACTGCCGACTCCACACCAATCCGCCTATTACTTGAATTAAGTTCTTCTTGTCTTCGTCTGTGTTAGTCCTGCTTTTTGTTTTCTTTGGGTCAGACAATAGTAATCCACAAGAATGTTTTACCTTGTTGACATGTTTCGGCTGCCAACTGCTGACCCAAAGAAAACAAAAAGCATGACCAATCCGTCTGTCGATGTCCTGCTCCTTTATACCCCCATTCGCGAACAAGTCCCCGAGGTACTTTAACTCCTACACTTGTGGAAAAGACATCCCCCCTGACCCGGAGCAGGCACTCTACCTTTTTACGGTGAAAGACCATGGTGTCAGATTTGGAAAGACCAATCCTCATCCCAGCTGCTTCAGACTCAGCTCTGGACCGCTCCAGCGAGAGCTGTAGATCACGACTTGATAGTCAGTAGGACCAGATCATCTGCCAAAAGCAGAGATGCAATCCTAAAGCAACCAAAACAGACACCTACAAGACCTTGGTTGCGTCTTGAAATTCTTTCCATAAAAGTTATGAACAGAATCAGAGACAAAGGGCAACCTTGGCGGACTCCAACTCTCACTGGAAACGAGTTTGAATTAATACCGGCCATGCTTACCGAGCTCTGACATTGGTTGTAAAGGGACCTAACAAAGGGCCTGGTATCCCATACGCCCCACGGACATTGTCGAACGCCTTCTCTAACATAAAACTAGCACTAACATAGACAAATGTACCCTTTGATGAACAGTTTTTAGTAAAGAAACCCAACACAACGAAGCAGATTTGTGTCACTTTCTTCATCCACTTTTTAGGTCGTGGAACAGTATTTTAATCTCTGGATTTGAGCTTTTACTGGGACAGTGTAACACCTTGTCGCTTTCCTTTTTCAATCATTCTTTCCAGCATTTGCTGCTGTTTTTAGGATTAATTTCTCGTTACATGACCCATTTCAGTTACGTGTTCGTGCTGATATGCTGTGTTTGTATTTCCCCAAATATGGTGTTGTTCAGGAGAAACATCTCCAATTTTGTCTTGTTGAGTAGTAATACAATTTTACAAATGAAAAATGTGCTTTAGTTTTTTTTTTTTTTACATTGTAAAGTTTAGGTATTTTTCTCTAATGAAACCTTCAGTCATTTTTCAAATTGCATCCCTACAATTCAACATTTACTATGATATCCA